TTTTGAATGCTACTGACTCTATTACAATGTAATATTTGTTCATAATTAACTACTTTCTCAACATACTGAAGCACAAAGAGCCAATAACGCCTCCAGTGAAGCTCGAACTCACAACCCCTCCCATATGGGAGTCCAACCCGGCTTCCAATTCCTTTTTATTTTCCTTGCGTGTTACTTTCATCTTCTGCCAATTGGTGAATTAAATTTCCTCAAGTTAACATTGATGATTGATCATCACATCCCAATTCTTCCCCCGAAAGCCTTAAACGATTACCACTCCCTAAAATCGCAAGCCAACTATAAATGGAACAGTTAGTCTATTACATACTAAATTTGCATAAGTCGTCTATAACGGAAATTTCAAGCAAAAACTAAAAGAAAAACGTAGGCAAAAGAATATATATGGACCATCCAAGAGAACTCTATTACAAATCAAACAAACAGGAACCATATTCCTTTCCCTAACGAGTTAATAAAAATTTCAAAAAAAAAGTGGGTTATGGGGTTAAAAGAAAATCGGAAATTGCGTACCAGTTTTCCGGCGAATCTGAAGAACCCAGAAGAGTTGGATGTCTGGCCGGCGATGGAGTCTGGACAAGCTTTCCTGGAAAAAGTCAGTGGACGGGACGGGGAGAGCAGAAGAGGTTTGCAGAGTTCGATTACTCAATTATTTCGCCCTGCGCGTGCGTGTCAAAATCCAAAACTTTTCTAGTGCCAACACTCAACAGTCAACACTACGCCACTTGGCTGATAATTGCTATCAAATACTCCTTCTAATGCTATCTGTACTTTAATTTTCCATTTAAAATGATACAAGTAATAGAAATGTCATCACACTATTATCTTAATTTAACTTAATATCTTCTCTATAAAAATTAATGAATAAATTAACAATAGATAACAGAATATTTTGTTAATAAAATTTACACTAAAATAATGTTGGGGTATTTAGAAAAAGTAAATGATATAATAAAAGGTAAAATAGAAAAAATATTAAAATTAAAATAATATGAACATTTATTTCAATCAATAATTACACTAACATTTTTTAGTTTCCGTTATAAGTCTAACTTTATTAGCTCTTTTAGATTTGTATAGATTATAAATGTAGATATTAAAATTTAATGAAATGGCTCCTATATTGTCATGAGAGCAAAATTATTTAATCATTGATGGCAATTAAGGGAAAAATACATTTCTATGAACAATCAATTGGAAACACAAATACATTTTTTCTTCACTACAAAATATATATATATATATATATATATATATATATATATATATATATATATACTACGCCACATAATTTACGTCAATTTTTTCTAAAACCGACATAATATGTCAAATAAAAATAAACAAAAATAATATATTATTTATGACGTCGACTTTTAGCCAAAACCGATGTCGTCATATGTATTTAATTAATTTTTTAAATACATATAATGTCGGTTCTACGCATAACTGACATCATATCTATTTTTTAAAAAAAAAATAAAATAGATACAATATTAGTTATGCTTCATAACCTACGCCATATTGATTTATTAAAAATAAAAAATAAAATAGATACTGCGTCGGTTATGAAACATAACAGATGTATCTTAAAAAAATAAAATGATCACAGTGACTAAATGTCCCCAACACTTGTTACATGTAAAATAAATTATATTTAATTAGCATATATTATGCTTAGTAAATCAAATTTTAGTTTGCTAACTTTTTTTTTTTTTTTATGACAAAGAGAAACTCGTAGTTACCACATTAAAATATTTTTGTAAAATTGAGATAAATCACTCTATGTTGTTCATATCTGATTGACTCAAATCAAGATAGTCAATAGACTGTTCTTACAGGAAGCCGAATTTGAAACTTTATCGTTACTCGCCTACAACTCGGCCAACTCATATGCTAATTGGATAAAGCTACCAAGATTTAAAAAAAAAAATGTTAGCAAAATTATTAACTATCTACCATGACAATAAACTCTTATTATTCATTTGTTACCGTGAATTAGCTATATTCACTATGTGCTAAAAAGTTAACATACTTACCAATCAAATGCAAATCATATATTGTCACGTTAAATGGTGAAAATTTTATAATGAATTTTTTGGTCACTTAGCTTGACCCATGTTAATTGCATTTAAGAAAAAGAAAAAAAAAAAAAACATAGTGACCATCACAAAGCTATAACAAAATATATACTAAAACTCTCAAATAGTGCACTCATGTGTGCATAGTATTAGTTATATGCGGATAAACTATCAAGTGTTTCCAAATATATTGCTGTAAATATAGAAATAATGCCATTGCGTTATTTCATATGTTGTACATAATTTTCATTCATTAATCATCTATACGTTCTCATGTAGCTACTAGTTTCATGAGAGCTAACACAACCTTAAGTATATATATCATCTAACAGTTTGGAACAATTGATAAATTTAGTGTCTAGATACGAATCAAATAAATAACGTGATTTGGTACACCTAACATGGGTGTTTCAATAATAATAATCTAACAGTTTGGAACAGTTGATAAATTTAGTACCTAGATACGAATCAAATAAATAACTTGATTTAGTACACCTAACATGGGTGCTTCAATAATAATAATCTAACAGTTTGGAACAGTTGATAAATTTAGTACCTAGATACGAATTAAATAAATAACTTGATTTAGTACACCTAACATGGGTGCTTCAATGATAATAATCTAACCGTTCAAAACATTTGATAAATTTAATACCTAGATACAAATTAAATAAATAACTTAATTTAGTACACCTAACATGGGTGCTTCAATAATAATAATATAGTAATAATAATAAATTATTATTATTATTATTATTATTACTACTACTACGTGTATTCACTTGTTTTAATTAAAAAAAAAAATTGGTGGACACAAGTACATGACCAGTCTTGATTAATTCTTCCAAAAATGGGGTAGAATTTACTCAAGTGCATTTATTATTATTTTTTAAATGAGCTAAAATATAATATCATTTAAAGTAATCATTTTGAGACAATGTTGATATAAGATTTTAATAGGAAATTTTAAAAATGTGTTGGTATAATTAAATTCAATATTAACGTATACAGTATGCTTTCATTTTTGTACCCTCATAGTTTCTTTTTACTTTTTTTGTTCCTTTTCTATTTTATATTTTTCTTTCACCTAAACTATTAACATCGTTAAATATAATAATCTGTACATCGTACTTGATTTATTGTACATTTACAAATTCTTTATATATTTACATTTTTATTTATACATAATATATTACTTCTCATGTCACAAATTACCTGTTTATTATTCATTGGTCAAATTAATTTTTTTACTTATTTTCTTTAATATTTTTAAATTTGATTTTTTATTTTTGTGTTTAATAGTAGTACTTTTTATATAGTTTTTAAATATATAAATTTTATATACTAATACTAAACTTAATATTATGAAAAATTGAATTATAAATAGTTTCAATATAGTCTTGCATTGCTACAATTATTATTGCGTGGACCAACAGTCCAAAAACACATAAAGTACATTATTCTAACTCATAAAATACATTATTCTAACACATAAATTACATTATTCTAACTCATAAAATACATTATCTTACTCCATAAATTTTGTTATTCTAACACATAAAGTACATTATATATTATTCTAACTCATAAAATACATGATTCTAATAAATAAAGTACATTATTTTAACTCATTAAATACACTATCTTACCTTATAAATTTTATTATTCTAACACATAAAGTAAATTATTCGAACATGATACCCGGGTTGGGCTTCCATTCGAAAGATTGTGAGTTCGAGCCTCAGTGGAGGCGTTATTGGTTCATTGTGTTTCAGTAGGTTGAGAAAGTATATGAACAGATGATGGACAGCTACTACATTGTAATAGAGCCAGTAGCATAAAATAAAATACATTATTTTATGCCAAAATCTTTATTATTCTAACACGCGTACGAAGTAAATAATTTATTTTTAACATCAAAACGGCGTTGTTTTGAACTGTGGTCCACACGATAATTTACCGCCTTGTTAACTGAAGATACATAAATGAGACGGAGAGGGTAGTTACTTCTATTATTTTTCATAATTTTTTTAATAATAATGATAAAATCATGTAATTTTATACGGAGTATTTATTTTGTAAACTACGGAGTAATATTTAAGTAATTTCATCACGTCAAAAAGTTTCGATTTTCCAAGCTAAGCGACAAATTAAAATAAGAGTTCTACTATAAGTATTATGTGTACTTTCAAATTCTACTATTTCACTTATATTTCATGACAATAAAAATTGGCTATTTTTATTGTGGGTCCCAATAATATGGCAAATTATGTTGTGCATCCGTATGCACCATGCATGATGCATACGGATGCAAAAACGACGTTATTTTATTAAAAACGCGCGTCTCCCCTTAAAAAAAAAAATCAGGTTCGATTCCCAGCAACAACATATGAACTAAAATTTCAGAATCGATGAACTATAATTCCATAATCGATGAACTAAAATTTCAGAATCGATGAACTATAATTCCATAATCGATGAACTAAAATTCCAGAATCTAATCTATGAACTAAAAATTTCAGAATGAATGAACTAAAATTCCATAATCTATGAACTAAAATTTTAGAATCGATGAACTACAATTCCAGAATGAGTGAACTATAATTCCAGAATCAACGAACTAAAATTCCATAATCTATGAACTAAAATTCCAGAATGAATGAACAATATAATGCTGTTGCTGGGAATCGAACCTGTTTTTTTTTTTTTTTTTTTAAGGAGAGACGCGCATTTTTAATAAAACGACGTCGTTTTTGCATCCGTATGCACAACATAACTACTCCAATAATATGTCAAACATAACAAAATTGTGAAAGGGAGTACTGAGAGAGTGAGAGTAATAAATGTGAGTGCCTGTAATATTGTCATCCCTCACGCGTCGGTACAGCAGTCTTGTCTTAATATATAAAACCCACCGTGAAATCAAGAACGCCCACAGTTCCGGTGGCCTCGACGGCGATGGAGGCGATATACACCATACTGGGAGTGTGCGTTTCTGTGGGTTTGTTGGCGTATGCATGGGGAGTGTTGGATTGGGTGTGGTTTAAGCCGAAGAAACTGGAGAAGTGCCTTAATCAGCAAGGCCTCAAAGGAAACCCCTACAGAATCTTCTCCGGCGACATGAAAGAGCTCGCAAAGATGGCGACAGACGCCATTTCCAAGCCCATGGCTCTGTCGGATAACGTAGCTCCGAGAGTCATTCCGTATTATGCTCACCTCGCCGATAAATACGGTATATTTTTCAATTTTCATGCTTCTTCTTCGCTGTGAACTCCATTATCATATCCCAGAATTCAATGATCTTCTGCAGGTAAAAAATGTTATGTATGGTTGGGTCCAAGGCCTATGGTGTTCATCAGGGATCCAGAGTTAATCAAGGAGGTTTTGAACAAAAATTATCTGTTTCTGAAGCCTAAGGATAATCCACTGATCAGGAAGTTGTCACGGGGACTTGTCAGCTATGATAAAGACCAGTGGGCAAAACACAGAAGATTAATCAATCCTGCCTTCTATTCAGAGAAGCTAAAGGTGTGTAATGTTTCTCAAGTTTTGTTCTCTCACACAACAAACATGATTCATACTCCTATTATATATCTGGTCATAGTTAATTCCATAAGGGGGTGTATGGTTGGATGGAAGTCAAATTCTATGGAAAATGTTTTTTAAAAAGTGTAGGAAAATGTTGTTTTACGTTGTTTGATTGGATGGAAAATATTTTCCATTTGAATTTGAGTTCTTGAAGTTGGAGAAAAACAAAATCCTAGCAAGATATTGATATTTTGTTTTCCAAAAGATTTGGGAAGAAAGTATAATAATATTTGACTATTTTACCCTAATTAAAGTTTATTAATTAAAGGAATAAGATTCAAATTAGTCACTGAACGTAACCTGAAAATGCAATTAGGCTACTGAACGAAAAAAAAGTACAATTAAGTCACTAAACATTCAAAAAACATGCAATTAGGCCATTAAACACTCCAAATGTATGCAATTTCACCTAATTGCAGGTTACCTGCTTATGTAGCAATTGAGTTGACATTTTTAAATAATTTTTAATAATAAATTTTTAAAAAATTGAAAAAAATTACATAGAAAAAAAAAGAAGGGGTGGCCGGCGGGTTGATGTAGAATTATAGCAAGGGATTGTCTCTTACTTGATTTGGACAAATAGATGTTGTTAATCACTTGTTAGGAATAAGTGATTACGCGAAAAGCTATAGTTCACAGGCCGCCACCACATTTTTGAGAGGCAGGTGTTGGACTTGACCTTTCACCGGCCTGTCCAATAATTGCATAGCTATCAGTTGTCGGACTTCACCCATCACTAGTCTCCGCCCAACAATTTTCCCTCCTAACACCTTGCTTGATTTGACCCTTCACTAGCCTTCGCCCAACAAAAGTGGGGTGCATGGCTTACTAGCCTAGGACCGAGGATCAAATAGCTTAAATTATATACTATAGATAAGAAATCTCATTTAAAACTTGTTTCCGGCTGCTAGGGAGTATTCTCCAAGTATACCCCTTATGTGTACCGTATACCTGGTCGGTATTTGGTCGGGTCACTGCCGCCGACAGGAACCAAAACCGACTTTCACCCGACCAAGAGCATGATATTCCCGACCTGAATGCTATAACCAAGCTAGCTAAAGACTGCAAGTAGTGCTCATTTTCTTTGGGGACCGACCCCACCAGTCCAAATCGGAACGACCATCCCGAGTAGGACTACTTGAGAATTTGGACCTTGACTTCAAGCTTTAACCCAGTCCCATCTCAATGAATGGTCAGGAATCTAAGCACACGTGGCTACCTAGGCGCTGCCCGAGCCCACGGACTGCATGCGTGACACATGTCAGCCATGCTGAGAGCCCGACATGTGTCCCATTCCCACAACTATAAATATATACCGCATTCAATGCTAGTGAGAAGGACTTTTGGCCTTTCTACCTATTTCGCCTGGGAACCTCTGGCCGCACGTCATATCAGAAGCCTATTATTTAAACCAACAAGCAGACCACTAAAGGATCCATCTACGATCCAACCTCGCGAACTGTACGTATCTGTGGGCTTAACCATATTTACTACATCACTGGCGGTAGGATGGGATTTGATTCTTGATTCTTATCACGAATATTGGGAATTTGAGTTTAAGTTGGACTCCTTATCGACAGAAGTGTACAGTTTGGCAAAATAAGAAAACCTAGATTATGGCCCTATTTGGTAAAAAATTGGCCTATAGGCCAATATTGGCTTATTTGATCACTATTAATTGTTTGATTTAGTTAAAATATCAATATAAATGTTTGGTTAATTAGCTTTTTGCAACTCCAAAATGCTAAAATTCAAAAAGCTACTCCAATTTGATTTAGTTAAAATATCAATATAAATGTTTGGTTAATTAGCTTTTTGCAACTCCAAAAGGCTAAAATTCAAAAAGCTACTCCAATCAACTTTTTCAATTAGCTTTTTGAGAAAAGAAATTATACCAAACAACTATCAGCTAACAGCTAATTTACCAAACACTTTTCTACAATCAGCTAATGTTATCAACTATTTATACCCTCTAATTAACACAATCAGCTAATAGGCATTTTACCAAATAGGGCCTATATGTAATAAAGGCAGGGGAAGTGTTTTGCTTTTTTATTCCATAAAATGACCATGAATAACCTATTAAACTTGCATCAACTTGATAATATTTTAATAGCTAGATTCTGTGTTGAACTCTTGAATTGCAAAGAACAGCTTATGCAACCGGCTTTCTTGCTAAGCTGCTCTGAAATGCTGAGCAAGTGGGAGGGGATGATTGTCTCATCTTGTGAGCTGGATGTGTGGCCTGACCTTCACGACCTGACATGTGATGTGATTTCTCGAACAGCATTTGGGAGCAGCTATGAAGAAGGAAAGAGGATCTTTCAACTTCTCAATGAACAGGCCATGCACTTCATGGAAGCCATGCGTCAAGTTTATATACCTGGATGGAGGTAATTAAAGTAATAACAAGCTAATTAAGGACTTTAAAGTTTCGGTTTTCATTAACTTATTGCAAGTTTACTGCAGATTTGTGCCAACTAAGAGGAACCGAAGAATGAATGCCATTGAGAACGAAGTGAAATCGTCTATTCGGGTTATTATAGAGAAGAGAATGAAGGCTGGGGAGACAAACAAAAACAATGATGATTTATTGGGGATTCTGTTGGAATCCAACTTACGAGAAATTAGACAGCAGGGGGATAAGGAATTTGGAATGAGCATTGAAGAGATCATCGACGAGTGCATCCTGTTCTATATTGCGGGGCAGGAGACTACTTCTTCTATGCTGGTCTGGACTATGATTCTACTCAGCAGATTTCCCGATTGGCAAGCCCGTGCGAGAGAAGAGGTGTTGCAGGTTTTCGGGGATACTAAGAACCCGGATTTTGAAGGGTTGAATGACCTTAAAGTTGTAAGTATTATATTCTAGATTACATATATAATTGACACTACATTTCTCATCCTGAACCTCGTGTCATCTTATAGGTGACAATGATTTTATACGAGTCTTTAAGGCTATACCCGCCAGTAGCTGGGCTAGCTAGGAGGACCATAGAGGAAACGAAACTAGGAGAAATGGTTCTGCCACCGGGGGTAATGCTGTCGTTACCAACGCTCTTGATGCATCTCGACACCGAGATTTGGGGCGAAGATGCTAAAGAGTTTAAACCCGAGAGGTTCGGGGAAGGGATAATGAAGGCAACAAATGGGAAGCAAGTGTTTTTCCCATTCGGTGGGGGGCCTCGAATATGCATTGGTCAGAACTTTGCTTTCGTAGAAGCTAAAATGGCTATGGCTATGGTTCTGCAACGCTTCTCCTTTCGGCTTTCGCCTTCTTATGCACATGCTCCATATTCAAGGGTGATGACTCAACCTCAGTATGGTGCTCCATTAATTATGCACAAGCTCTAATATGCTTTCTTTGGTAATTCTTCTTCCCAGTTCCCAGAAATCCTCTATTCTGGTCACCCACCAATCTGCAGTATTGAATAAACTTTCTATATATTCTGTTCAGTGATGTAATGTTTAATATACTCTTCTATATGTAAACAATATGTTTTGTTGTTGGAAAATTAGTAGAGGCTATTTATGTACATGTCATCTAAGTTCGTGTGATTATTTGGAGTTGTCTGTTCAGTGATGTAATGTTTAATATACTATTCTATATGTAAACAATATGTTTTGTTGTTGGAAAATTAGTAGAGGCTATTTATGTACATGTCATCTAATTTCGTGTGATTATTTGGAGTTGTGGAGTTGATGGATATATTGAGATTCGTCTAATAGTAGAGGCCAAGTTGTATGCAACAAACGATCTGGGGGGCTCAACACTACTACAGAATTGACATACAACGTCGGGTATTTAACATCGGCTATATACATAGCGGACGTTAAAAACATTTAATTTTTTTTTAAATAATTAGATTTATAACGTCGGGTATTTAGTAAAAGCCGACGTTATAAATATAAAATAATAATATAAAATAAATATATAACTTACGACGTCGGCTATTAATACAGCTGACGTCGTAAGTTTTATTATTTAAAAAAAAAAAAAAATTAATTACATATAACGTCGGCTATAATGAAATAGCCGACCTTATATACTAAAAATTAAAAAAAAAAGAAATAAAAAGAATACGACGTCGGTTATATTAAATAACCGACGTTATAAAGTTTTAAATAAAACCGGATGAAGCTTACAGATCTGAGAATATCGCATCTTCATTCCATCTCAGCTCCGCCGATCCCCTCCGCCTCCGCATCAATCGTCTTCCCACCGCCTCCGCCGCCGCTGCCGACGACGCTGCAACTCCCCGACGCCGCCCACGCCGTCTCGCCGACGTCCTCCACCGGCGCTGCATCGTCCACAACATCGCCGACGCTCTCCTTCCACGCCGCCGCCGCTTCACGCCCTCCTTCTCGGCCCAGCTGCGTCGTCCAGACCAGCCCTCCCCTCCGCCGTCGCCGCCAGCCATCGACGGAGCCGGTATGGTTTTTTTTTTTTTTTTTTTTTTTTTTTAATAATTATTATTAATTAATTTCGAATTTTATTAAATTTATTTGCAATTTAGGGTTTTTTTTTTTTTTTTGTATATATTTGTATGTTTTATTGATTAATTTCGAATTTTATTAAATTTATTTGCAATTTAGGGTTTGTTTGTATATATTTGTATGTTTTATTGATTAATTTCGAATTTTATTAAATTTATTTGCAATTTAGGGTTTGTAAGTTTTAATGAATTGGTGGTGAATGCAAAAATATTGGGCAGTGTATATTGGTGGTGCTATATAACTCTTTTATTGCATAGTGAATGCAAAAATATTGACAGTGTATAACCACATGACAATGAATGCAAAAATATTCACCACTTTTCTAATACAAGCTAAGTTTTATTATCTTCAAACATTTTATGTTTGTTAATTTTTAATTTGATTTTCATTTAAAATTGTGCCTAATTGAGTTGACCTTGTGAACAAATCAAACATTTTGTTTGTAAGTTGACTATATTATCCAATAAATATTCCTTCCAAAATTCACCAAATCCATTACTGTCCCCTCCACACTTCACTTCCTTCCTACATTACATACTGACTCACTCTAAAGGACACAACTAAACCCAATCATACCATATATACCTAATTACTTGTATATCATTTAAAACTTAATTAAAAGAGTAATCAGATGAAAACAAGCTAGAACAGTGAGAACACTATTGTTGTAATTAATGTATATTGGGTGGCCCCTCATTTTGTTTGTTAATTTTAGGGTTTATTTGTATATATTTGTAATTATTGTTGATTAATTTTGAATTTTAGTCAATTTATTTGCATTTTAGGATTTATTTGTTGAATCAATGTTAACAAAAGTTTAATTGGAATTAATATTATCCTAGATTGACTTGTGATGGATAAAAATTGGATGAAAGCTTCTCGGTTGAGTACGGAATATGAAGCCGGAGTTAGAGAATTTATAGAGTTTGCAAAACGTCATCTTCCAAATAATGATGCAACGTTTTGGTGTCCTTGTAAGAAGTGTTGTAATCTAAAACTATTAAGTGCCAATGACATATATGATCATCTAATTTGTGATGGAATTAATCTAAATTATACAAAATGGATATGGCACGGTGAAGGAGGAAGAGAGACTAGTACATCTAACATGTATGTTGACGACGAAGCAAATGAAGATGATGAGTCTGAAGATAGGTTGGACGAAATGTTCCGTGATGTTGGAGAAGAGTTCACAAATCGATCAAATGAGTTGGATGAATTATTAAATGATTCAAAACAGCCTTTATGGCCCGGGTGTAGTAAATATACTTGCTTATCTGCTGTTTTGAAATTATTCAACTTAAAAGCTGGGAATGGATGGAGCGACGAGAGCTTTACTGCTTTACTTGATTTAATAAACGATATGCTTCCAGAAGATAATGGACTCCCGAAGAGTACATATGATGCAAAGAAGATTATGTGTCCCATGGGTATGGAGTATGAAAAGATACATGCTTGTCTTAACGATTGTATATTGTTTAGGAATGATTTTAAAGAATTGAATGCATGTCCAATCTGTGGGGCATCTCGGTACAAAATAAGAGAGCATGTTGTTGGTAAGGCAAGTTCGAAAGGGCCACCAGCTAAAGTTATGTGGTATCTCCCAATTCTTCCAAGATTTAAGCGTATGTTTGCAAATCCAAGCGACGGGAAAAACTTAACATGGCATGCAGATCAAAAAATTTCTGATGGCAAGTTTCGACACCCAGCTGATTCTACTCAATGGAAAACCTTTGATAATGTTTTTCTTGAATTTGGCAAGGAGTCGAGAAATCTTAGACTTGGCCTTTGTACTGATGGTATTAACCCTCACGGGAACCTAAGTAGCAAGCATAGCTTGTGGCCAGTTATGTTAGTGATTTATAATCTACCCCCTTGGTTGTGTATGAAACGCAAATATATATTACTGTCCTTGATGATTTCTGGCCCAAAACAACCCGGTAATGATATAGATGTCTTTTTGGCACCTTTGATTGATGACTTGAAAAAATTGTGGGATGAAGGTGTGTTAGTGTTTGATGCCTACCGGAAAGAGAATTTTAAGTTGAATGCTATGCTTTTTTGCACAATCAATGACTTTCCAGCTTATGAAAATCTGGTTGGGTATAGTGTCAAAGGACATAAGGCATGCCCTATATGTGAAGATAATACATGTTATACACAACTTGTCCATGACAGAAAGACAGTCTACTTGGGTCACCGGAGGTTTCTTGATAGAGCTCACCCTTACAGGAGATTAAAAAAGGCTTTCAATGGGCAACAAAACTATACAGATGCTCCACAACCAATGACTGGGATTGAAGTTTATGAACGTGTGAAAGGTATAAATGTTACTTTTGGTAAAACTCAAAAGCTTAAATCTCAAAGAGGTAAGAGGTCAAGAGCTAATGTTGAGGTACCTCCAAATGAAAAGAGTCCATGGAAAAAGAAATCCATATTTTTTGATCTTCCATATTGGAAGACATTAGATGTGAGACATAGTATTGATGTGATGCATGTGGAGAAAAATGTGTGTGATAGTCTTGTTGGAACTCTTTTAGATATAAAAGGTAAGACTAAAGATGGACTCAATGCTAGATTAGACTTGATTGAAATGAACTTAAGAGCAACATTAGCTCCACGCCAAGGGGATAAGAAGACATATTTGCCTCCAGCTGCTCATACTTTATCAAGAAAGGAGAAAATAAGTTTTTGTGAGTGTTTACGTGGAGTCAAGGTACCACAATGGTACTCATCAAATATTAGAACACTTGTGAATATGCAAGATTTAAAATTGGTGTGATTGAAATCTCATGATTGTCATGCCTTAATGCAGCAACTATTGCCAGTGGCTGTTAGAGGTATATTGCCCAAAAAGTTGAGATATACTATTATAAGGTTTTGTTTCTTTTTCAATGCTATCTGTGGAAAAGTGATTGATCCAGACAAACTAGATGAATTGCAAAATGGCATTATTGTTACATTGTGTCAGTTGGGGATGTATTTTCCACCGTCATTTTTTGATGTCATGGTTCATTTGGTTGTACTTCTGGTCCGTTATGACAAAATTAATTTCTGAGCGTGGTGACACAAACACGAAATTGGTGGTTCAATTTAATAGTAAACACGAAGCTGTTGGGGCAGGGAGCGCCCAATTCAAAAGTTACTTTGCGTTGATTGCACGGAGCAAAGTTCCAATCACATATAAAGATTAGAAAGTGGTCCCAGAAGAGAGTAAAGCGTTGGTGTGGGATGATATCACGGTATGCAACTTATTTATAAAACTATTGAATTAATCGTATTTAATTTGTTTCTAATAAGTAATCTTGTCTTGCAGAGCGTTTATGATATTCCCACTGATGATGCGGATCTGAAGGATTTTTTGATGAAATATGCGGGTGAACGGTGGAGAGATTTTAAAAGTAGATTGAACAGAGACTACATATTCCATAATGAAGACCCAATAAAGAATACTCCATGTCAAAAATACACATTCGTTGATCCAAATACATGGAAAACTTACGTGGAGCGGCGTAAAACTGCAGAGTTTGAGGTATATATTATAATTTTTCTATCAATTATTTATTAACTCAAATATATTAAAGATATATATTTTTACTTAATGTTTTCTTTTTGTGTAGGAATCAAGAAAGAAACATCAAGAAATACGGAGTAAGAATATTCATCCACATCATTTAGCCCGAGGAGGCTATAATAGATTGGAGAAGATTATGATGGATGAGAAGATGAAAGAACAAGAAGAAGATGCAAGATCAGATCCATCGTCAGTAGTTGTTCCTCCATCTCCGCCAGCTAGACATGAAAAGTGGAAGAGGGCAAGAATGAACAAATCAGGAAATATCAACAACGAAGCGACTAGAATGGTCGTGGAAAAGATTGTAAGTAAAATGTTAAAATTTTCTACATTATTAAGATAGCTATTAATCATTATTAAATATTGTTTTTATATGTTAGGATTTGCTATCATTGCAAGCTTCTCAAGGAGAGTTTGTTGAGTCCGGTACACAAGATATATTGTCTAGTGCCATAGGTACAGATGAGCATTGCGGACGTGTTAGAGCCGTGGGTAGAGCACATGACTTAAAAAGCTACTTTGGTCATGCAAAACGTCGTCAAAGCCAGTCTACACCACAAGTGAAAGATATGATTAAGACAGCAGTTGCTGAGGCGTTAGCGGTTGCCCGAGAGGAATATGAAACATCCTTGCAAGCAGCCATTCGAGAGATGAGGGATGAAATTAGTAGTATGAGGACTCCAGCGGCTCAACCTGTACCATCAAGGCAGGAGGAAGACATGCGTGTAGCTGTCCAACCACATGGTCATAGTGGAAAAGCAAGCTCTCCAGACCCTTTTGCTGATTTACCGGCCGTAAGTAATCATTTATAACTAATCTTATTATTTATTAAAAACATTTGACCTATTTCTTAATATGAATTCATGCAGTTAGGAGCCGGATGTGAATTGTATTTGGAAGATCCCATTAAACGTAAAGTTGCACGTGGGACAGTTTACAAGGCCGAAAGGGTTCACGGGATACAAATACATGCGGATCAAGTGAAGGTCACCGTGACTGAAATTCTCGTGTCAAGTGTAAAGGTACCCTTCCCTACCGATGAGGTTCAACTGTTAAGGGATGCATTGCACAACTTTATTATTTGGCCAAAGAAGTTGGTTGAGTTGTATACCGAAGCTGATGAGGTATGTATTTTAAAAAATTTTGGTTTTTAAAATAGTGTTTAATTTACTTTTTAAAAATAGTAATTGTTAGTTATATTGAACAGGTATAAATGACTTATGATTCCGGTGTGCAACGACCTTTTGCTGATCTGAATAAGCTGATCCGACTTCTTTGAGTCCTCGATGTCTAAATGTATATAAAATTATTCGCAAACTTGATGAAAATGTTGTGATAAAGATGGAGCGTGGTATTGTGGGTGATGTTGATTATCCCTTAAAACTTGACCCGTTGGAGATTATGCGTTTCTTAAGGATGGAGACGTTAGATGTTTCCATATTGCAGTTCTTTATAAGGTAATAATTAAGTTCTTTACTTATATTTGTTTATATAATATTTTTCATTTCATCTATTATATTGCTAATATATATTATTGATTGTACTTTTGAATAGGGGTCTTTATGATAAATTTGATTTGGCATCAAAGACCACATATGGCTTCTTAGATCCACATTTCATTCAACCAATTTCGAATTCTATAGATGAACGGACAGGGTATATCAATGTCACCATGCAATATGGCCAAAAACAATGCTATCTAGCGCCATATATTTTAAAGTAAGTTTTAATTGTTTAAAATAAAATAACTTATATATAATACATTTTTATTATATATTATATTTACTTACAACTAATACATTATTGATTTGTAGTGATCATTGGATGTTGATGGCAATTTGTCCTCAACTTAATGAAATCTATTGGTTTGATTCAATTGGAGGCCAGCCACGTGATGACATCAAAGATATTGTTGAAAAGTATGTGAACTTATAAGTATTAATATGTATAGTTAATAAAGTATAAAGTATTTATGTAAACTAATCTCTTATAATTTTAGGTGTGTCAATTCAGCAAAGTTGTTGAGAAGCAATGGATCAACTCGTTCACCAAAATGGACGAAGGTTTTGGTAAGTATTTTATACATTTGTAAAACTACTTATATTTTATTGTTTTTTATTAAATAAAATTTTAAATGTAATTTAATTCAAATGTAGTGTGCTCAACAAGTTGGAAGTATGGCATGTGGATATTATGTGATGAAATACATGCTTGAAATTCTTTCCAAAGAAGCATGTGCGGGAATGGATAAGGCATGTAATTTAATATAATACATTTCTCTTTCTAATTTTATAAATGCTAGCTTACTAATTATTTAATAATTATCAACTTTGTAGATTGTTGAGAGAGTTGGTAGATCGAGCTACACTCAACAAGAAATTGATCAAGTAAGAGACGTATGGGCCGACTTCTTTGTTGATGTATGGTTAAGTATGTAAATTGAACAAATTGATATTAGCTTTTGATAATGTTAACTTGTATTATTAATTAGTATCAAATTGTGAGATTTATTACTTTTATTACTTGTTTCATTATAAATATTAGATTCTACATATTTTGTTGTGGTTGTGGTGCAATAATTGAGCAAGTTTTGGTTGTGGTTGTGAGAAATTGAGCAGGTTTAGGTTGTGAGTAGATTTGAGCAGGTTTTTAGGTATAAATCGACAAATAAACTGTATATTAAAAAAAAAATACAACGTCGGCTATTAACTAATAGCCGACGTTGAATACATTTTAAAAAATAAATAAATAACGTTTACAACGTCGGCTATTTGCATTTAGCCGACGTTGTATAGTATTTAAAAAAAAATTAAAATACTTACAACGTCGGCTAAATGCTAATAGCCGACGTTGTAGGTATTTTATAAAAAATTAAAATACATACAACGTCGGCTATTAGCATTTAGCCGACGTTGTAAGTATTTTAATTTTTTTTTAAAAATACTTTACAACGTCGGCTAAATGCTAATAGCCGACGTTGTAAGTATTTATTATTATTTTTAAATAAGATATAACGTCTGCGATTTATATAGCCGACGTTATAAATAATATTTACAACGACGCCCAGAACAACTACGGAACATAGCCGACGTTAAAAGCTCTATTTAGCCGACGTTAAAAGCCTGCTGTGTAGTAGTGCAAGAGTAAGAGGGTGCTTCGGACAAGGTGCAAAAGATTGGGGCATGGTGCAAGGGACCAAAGGATTAGACTTGGGCAGGGTCGGGGGTACCAATTTCGCCATGGAACCCGTCTTCGGGTCTAGGATGGTGAATATACTCTTTTATATGTAAACAATATGCTTTCTGTTGGAGAGTTTATCTAGAAAATGGTGTTCACCATTTATGTGCATGTGATCTAATGTTTCTGTGATTTTTAGGAGTTGTGGGGTGTATAAACATCTAGTGTTATATGGTTATGGTGTAAACAATATGCTCTCTGTTGGAGAGTTTATCTAGAAAATGGTGTTCACCATTTATGGCCACGTCATCCTACGAACAGGAAAACTTATGAAAAGTTTTAAATGGAAAAAAATAATCGGTTCCTGGATCGAAACAACAGTTATAAAAGATTAGAGTGCGGCAGGAAGAATCGCTTATGGTTCATGGTGCGGAATGACACTTGAGCCGATTTTTAATCATGAAGTAATTATTTATCAAGATTGAGCTTGCTAAATTACGACGGCGTTGATTTTATTGAATAAATTAGTAAATGATTTTATGCCCTAATATTAGAATAGTGAAATGCTGAAATTTACAATATTTAGTGCACTTGGTTAATCAAATAATTAGTCCATGTTAATTAAGTCCAATTCTGGACAGTGTGTATAAAACAGGAGTCCAAAGTTTTGGAGATAAACCAACGGTTTGCTTTGATAGTTTTTTTTTTTGGTTAGACCATGAGGTATTCTGAGCAGACTTTTTTTTTTTTTTTTTTTTTTTTTGGTAAGAAAAAGGGCCTAAGGCCCCGGGAGATTAGTAAAGTCTACTAGTTGCAACGCTATTTGCGTCCCGCATAAGTAGCGGAAAAAGACCGGCAGGAGGATCATGAAGAATCGTCGTTCCCCACGTAGAAGATCTGACCCAAATTGGCGAGATAGTCGGCACATTGGTTCCCTTCCCGAAGGACATGAGAGAGAGTGAACTTATTGAAGCTGTGTAGAAGAGTCTTGCAATCAAGAATAAGGGAATCTTCCACCAATAAAGGACCATCCTCAGCTTGGAGAACTTGAATAACAGCCATAGAATCAGATTCTGCTTCAATATTGGCATAGCCGTAATGTTTTGCAACGCGAAGGCCTTCCCGGAGTCCCCAAAGTTCCGCAACAAAGCTGTTCGTGATCCCAATTTTAATAGTGAAGCCCATCAACCAAGTCCCCTTGTGATCACGAAGAAGGCCTCCAGCGCTAGCCATGCTAGAGGTAGCTTTCTTAGCACCATCGGAGTTGAGCTTTATTATGCCGGTGAGAGGGGGAGTCCAGTGAACCCAGATTTGCTTAGCGTTCATCACTTCGTTATGCTTGAAGAGAGCTTGGTAATCATCAAGCTCGCTCATTTTAGCTCTCTTAAGGATCACCGTTGTCGTAGACCAAAAGTTGTCAAAGACCACTTCATTTCTAGCTTTCCAAATGTTCCAAAGGATGTGGGGGAACAGGAGGTGCCAACGGTCATTCATGGAACTCTGCATTTTTCCACTGCAAGCCTTCTCAATCCATTGCGAGAGAGGAAGGTGGTTACTGATGGCGAGGACTGGCGGAGGAGAGGAGCTGTTCCAGCAGTCGTTCGTCAGCCTGCAGCGTCTGAGAAGGTGGTCTAATGACTCTTCTTCCATACCGCATCTTGGACAGGATGCATCACTCGTGAGTCCTCGCTTAGCCCGTTCTGCATTCACCAGTAGGCCATTGTGGAGGATTTTCCAGATGAAAAACTTCACCCATTCCTTGCATCTGAGCCGCCAGATCCACTCATAATCCAAGGAGCTATCTCCGGTACCTGAAATAAAGGAGAAGGCCGAACTTACCGTGACTATACCTGAGTTTGAAAGCGGCCAGAAAGGTCTGTCTATCTGGCTTGTAACAGGGATGGGAATGGCACGAATTTGGTGGATGATATTCCCAGGTACGAGAGATTCCAGAGCTCCAATATTCCAAGCACAATTGTTTAGCATCACGTCCCTGACTTTCAGGTTGGAAGAATTCCCCGTAGCCGGGAGGGGAATGGTCTCAGCCAGCGGAGAATCTCCTACCCATCTATCATGCCAAAAGCTTATGGAAGCACCTGTCACCTTGACGAAGACCCCTACCCGGAACGAAGGAGCTAAGCCGGCCACCGTTCCAAAGAATATAAATTTCGCTCTCTTTTAGGGAGAACAAGATGAGATCAATAAGCTAACCTGGGAAACCGAACCCAATCAGGGAGTCCCTAAGGAAATCCCAACTTACACTGTCATAGGCTTTATGAAGGTCCACTTTTACTACCATGAAGCTTTTCTTTCCTCGTTTATGATTCAAAGTGTGAATGACTTCTTGAGTAAGGACCACATTATCCATAGTGGACCTACCAGGGAGAAAGCTATTTTGGTGGGGCCCAATTAACTTGCACATAATAGGTCTTAATCTGTTAACAAGCGTTTTGGAAATTACCTTAAAAGCAACATTGAGGAGGGTGATTGGCCTGAAGTCCGCTGCCCTCTCTGGGATTTCTTTCTTTGGAATAAGAGTCATAAAAGCCTGCAAAAGGGATTTATGAACCTCTCCCGTACTGAGAGCCTGATTGACCATTAGCGTGAGGGTTCGTCCAATGTCATTCCAGAAGAATTGGTAGAAGGCTGCCTGAATTCCGTCCGGCCCAGGACTACCAAATTTCCTCATGCCAAAAACAGCTCTTTTGACCTCGTCCAAGGTGGCTGTACGACTCAGAATCTGGAAATCAAGCTTGGAGATAGTATTTCTTGCACCAATCGGGGTGAAAGTCGGATGACCCACTATGCCAGACCTGGAAAACAGAGAAGAAAAAAAACCAGAAATATGGTGCGTTAGAGAAACCGGGTTATCCGTCCACTCACCATGGATTTTCAAAAATCTGACCCGAATTTTGTTCCTTCTAATCAACGCCGCCCTATGATAGAACTTGGTATTTCTGTCCCCATCTTTAACCCAATCCATTCTAGATTTTTGGAACCAGAGGGCTTCTTCTTGATCAAGGATTTCGTTGAACTCTTTAGCAAGAAGTCTGTCGAGATTCTGTAAAGACCTTGAAGAACTGTAGTTACTTGCGGACTGAATACCTTTGATTCTAGCCTCGATACGCCTTTTCCTATTAAAGATATTACCAAAATGTTTTCTGTTCCAGCGCTTACTATCATTGGTGATGGACTCAATAGTGGACACAATATTATTATTATTTCCAGTGGTCGCCTTCACCCAGATTTGGCCGTAGTCGTTTCTGGTCAACCAGGCAGCCTCAAAACGGAAGGGTCGAAGGTTTCTCGTAGGAGGGTTACCAACTTGATCTATAAACATCAAGGGGTTGTGATCAGAATGGAACCTCGGGAGCACCAGAGTTTTGCCTTCCGGGAAGGCTTGTTGAGATTTAACGTTCCACAGGACTCTGTCAAGCCTGCGCATGAGAACAACTCTGTTACCAATAAACCGCTGCCAAGTAAATTGAGGACCCAAGTGCCCAGGATCAAGAAGGCCGCAATTACTGTAGGCATCCACAAATCTCTGGAGCCCACTAAGGTTGATGGTATCACTTCCCCATTGTTCCTCCACCGCAGCAATATCGTTCAAATCCCCTAGCACAATCCAAGGGTTCTGAATATTACTACTGAGGATCTTGCATTCTTCCCAAAACCTACACTTAGCCAAGAGGTTAGGTCTAACATAACCGAACGTAATAAAAACCTCCTCAGTCCCATTCAAAACCTTGGTATGAATGGTTTGGGAGGAAGAACTCAAGACAGTAAGATCAACATGATCTTGCTTCCAAAATAACAGCAGACCACCGGCAAACCCAAGAGGGACAACGATAAAATGATTAGAAAAGCCCAACGAGGAAGCCAGATTGATCATTTTATCTGCCCTGGTCGAGCGAATTTCGAGGAGGCAACAAACATCGACTTTATTTGTGACCAGAAGCTCTTTAACGTGCTTCCGGACACGCCCATTGACAATGCCCCTGCAATTCCACGAAATGACTTTCATTAAGACTGATTGGCACGAGGGGAAGATTGACAACTGCCTTCCCCCGGCGTGAAACAAAAATTATCAACTGCCATCCCCATGGAGGCAGAACCCATGCCATCACCCTCTATTCTGGATGTGAGGCCACCGAACAGGAAGACCTGAGAGGAGTCAACAGTGCTCAACCCAACAGCAGCGCTATTCCCCGGAGGAATAGGCGCAATCACATTCTCAGTACCTCGACCACCAATCCCACGCCCCATACCACAGCCGCCCGGGCGAGCTCCTCCCCGTCCCCTACCTCTGGAAAAACCATTAGAGGGTTGGCGAGGTTCCGTAGCAGCGATGGTTACGTTAGGGGGGGGTAGAGATACGCAGAGTATTTCTAGAATGGTGGTGGGGGTGCGAGATGTGAGGAGTAGAAGAAGACTTACCTCTAGAGGATTCACCTCTCTCCGTGGAAGATCTCACCACCGGCTGCAGAGGTTGGGAATCACCAGCCGAGGTCTCCAAGTTGGCGAGCAACTCAAACTGGTTTCCCGACACACGATTCTGCCTGTTATGTTGTTTGTTCTGTCGATTATTCTTAGCATGTTGTTTATCCGCTTTTTTGTTTGTCACCAGCATCCAGGGGCCGTGTCGAGATACCCTTACTGGAATGGTCGGAGAATGGGCAGGAGTGGTAGACGGATGTTGTTTCGGCGGGACGTCATTAGCGTTCATCTGCTGAGACTCCCCATCTTCCTCAGCCACTGGGGTTTCATTAAGATCCATTTCGTTCACATTCACGTTTTTTTCCTTGCTGAGAGGACATGACTGTTCGCGGTGTCCGATCATGCCACAGCCAAAACATACGACATGGAGACTTTCATATTCCACGATTTGCAGCTGATCTTCTACCCAAATTTCCATCACCAACGGCTTGTCTAAATCCACTTCGACGACAGCTCTGGCATATCTCCCCTTAACGACGGCAGCGGTGGTTCTATCCAACTGAAGGGGTTTACCAACTCCCTCTAGAATACTCTTGATCACATCATCTCGGAAATACTCAGCGGCAAGCCTTGGAAGACGGACCCAAACCGCCATTTTTGAGATCTTCGCGGTTGCCGGATTGAATTTTGGAACCCAACGTTGAACCACCAAGTAGTGATCAAAAATTTTCCAAGGACCATCAAGAAGAACATGAAGATAATCTGTACGATTATTAAACCTAGCCACAAAGCAGCTGTATCCTAGATCAATAAGCTCGACCCTTCCTTATATCCCCCAAAGAGTTGGGAGTCTCTGATTCAACACGTTAAAGTTCATCGTTTTCCCAAGATATTTGACAATAAGGGCCATCTTCCATTGTTGACAAAGCTCCGTCCGGAGTTCCTTGGAGATCCGTATTCTCGGTCGTCCATCAGAGTTGTCTTTCGGATCAAAGACCGCATCATCGTCAATCTCCGGATCTGTAAAAGCCCATTCTGTAACTTCAGACTGAGGGGGATTGGTGCCATTGAACGGAGATTGGGAGGCGATAGTATCAGCAAAGGAGCGTTTAGATTTCTTGTTAGAGTGGAGGGATGGATCTGCAACGTTCATTGCCTCCTCCGGAGGAGGATCAGGGACGTCTTCCGGCGACTGCATGGCTGCCATCAGCCCAAGGCCGCCGGAAACGGCTAGGGAAAGGCGCGAAACCTTCCTAAAATAACAAGCAAAGAGAAGGAAGGAATCGCAAAATCAGAGAGAAAATCTTCTCCGTGCATGTGATCCTGGTTACTCTAATTATAAGAAACACATTTAAACCAGTATCATACTCAGACTAATCCCGACAAATTATGCTATGGACTTGTGTTCACAATGCATTGTGGACACGAGTCCAAAACGACGCCGTTTTCAGGAAAAGTGCGACATTCCAGTTTAAAAAAATTGATTTTGTCTTTTCATTAACGACGTTATTCGCTTTTGCCATTATGAATGTACAGTTATGGAGTTATGAATGTACAGTTATGGAATTATGAATGTAATTTATGAAATTATGAACACAGAGCTCTGAGATTATGAACTTACAATTATGAACATATAGTGATAAAATTATGAACATAGAGCTTTACAATTGTGAACATAAAGCTTCGAAAATTATGAATGTACAGTTATGGAATTATGAACACAGAGCTCTGACATTATGAACTTACAATATGAACATACAGTGATAAAATTATGAACATAGAGTTTCAAAAATTATGAATTTACAGTTATTGAATTATGAATGTACAGTTACAGAATTATGAATGTACAGTTACGGAATTATGAATGTACAGTTATGGAATTATGAACACAGAGCTCTGACATTATGAACTTCAAATTATGAACATATATTGATAAAATTATGAACATATACTCCTATAACGAAGCGGTCTGATTTTTTTTTTTTTAAGTGGAAGATAACAGTGCCACTAATGGCACCGTTACCGTGTCCATATTGCATGCTGGACACGGGTCCATAGCATATCGATTGGATTTTGGCAAATTATGTTGTAGACACGAGTCCAAAACGACGTCGTTTTCAGGGAAAACGACAGCATTCCAATTTAAAAAAATTGATTTTGTCTCGCCGTTAAGGCATTAACAGCGTTATTCGTTTATGGAATTATGTATGTACAGTTATGGAATTATGAACACAGAGCTCTGACATTATGAAATTACAATTATGAACATATAGTGATAAAATTATGAACATAGAGCTCTAAAATTGTGAACATAGAGGTTCGAAAATTATGAATGTACGATTATTGAATTATGAATGTACAGTTACGGAATTATGAATGTACAGTTATGGAATTATGAATGTACAGTTATGGAATTATGAACACAGAGCTCTGGCATTATGAACACAGAGCTCTGGCATTATGAACTTACAATTATGAACATATAGTGATAAAATTATGAACATAGAGCTCTAAAATTGTGAACATAGAGCTTCAAAAATTATGAATTTACAGTTATTGAATTATGAATGTACAGTTACGGAATTATGAATGTACAGTTATGAAATTATGAATGTACAATTGTGGAATTATGAACACAGAGCTCTAACATTATGAACTTACAATTATGAACATATAGTGATAAAATTATGAACATATGCTCATATAACGAAGCGGTCTGAAATTTTTTTAAAAAAATGGTGGAAGATAACGGTGCCACTTACGACACCGTTCCGTGTCCACAATGTATGCTGGACACTGGTCCATAGCATAACGATTGATTGATTTTTTTTTTATACGGGTAGAGTTCAAACTCTCAATTTCTTTTAAGGAATGAAAGTGCACGACCACTAACGTGAGTCAAGCTGGTCGCTTTGATAGGTTTTTAACTCCTTTAACTGCCAATTTGTAAGCCTATAAATAGGCCCTTCATGCGTGCATATGAGTAGAGCTATCGAAACGGACCGGCGGGACGGGGCCCGCCAAAGCCCGCCATATGGCGGGGGCGGGCTAAAAAGCCCGCCAAAATAAGGGCCTAGGGGAGGTTGGCCCGCCCCGCCCCGCCTTAAGCCCGCGGGCCATGGCAGGGGCCCGCCATACGTTAAAATTTTTAATATTAAATAAAAATTATATTAATATAAAAAACGTAATAAGTGTACACTAAAATAATTTGGATAGTTTAAACATATATTAATGCATTTGTACTTTTTTAAACACAATAATAACTAACAAATAATCAAATACATAATGTGTTAATCCATAAATTAATAACGAATCATTTATACAATGTACTAATTTTTTTTTAACTTGATTATATATATATATATATATATATATATATATATATATATATATATATATATATATATATATATATATATATATATATAGCAATTATTTATTATAAATTTTTTTTTTTTTACATTTGGCGGGCCCCCGCCTGCCCGCCAAGCCCGTCCCGCCAAAGCCCGTAGGTTAGGCGGGGCGGGTAAAAAAGCCCGCCAAAATACGGGAGTAAAATATCAAAGCCCGCCCGGTCCTTTTTCAATCGTTATGCTGTGCATCCGTTTGCACCATTCTTGGTGCATCCGGATGCACACGATGTCGTTTAGGGAGTAACGGTGCCGTTAGTGGCACCGTTTCACTCCACCAATCAGATTTTTAAAAAAAAAAAAAATATAAAACAATGCTCCTTCGTTTCCTCTCCCATTGCATTTCACTTCCCGCACTCCCTTTCTTCTCCAACACGATACCCTCCGTAGACGCTTCAATCATCTCCATTTCCTTACCATTTCTTCAGCATTTTCTAGCTTTCACACACACTCGTCGTCGCTATTGTCGCCGGCGTCCGATCGTCGCATATTCAACTGCGCTTTCTCTGTAAACCAGAGCTCATCATCATCCTATAAACAGGTATAAATGCATTTTACGTTGATACATAATGCATTTACACAAAACAAGCATTCATTTTGAGTATATGTTTATGAAATTTTAAACTAGGGTTTTATACTGTTTAATCTTGTATGAATGTATAGTTATTTGATTATTAACGTGTATGGTTATAATTATGGGTTTATGAGTATATTTATAAGTTTATGGAACTGTAGTTGTACAATTTTGGAAGTATAGTTGTGCGTTTATGAAATTGTAGATATACAGTTTTGGATGTAGTACTCTGTTAACCTTACTCTGTGCACCAAACTGCTTTCATGCCTTTTTAGCATAATTTGCCTTGTGGGTATACTTATTGAATTGTAGTTTTACAATTCTGGAAATATAGTTGTGTGTTTATGGAATTGTAGTTATAGAGTTTTGGATGTAGTACTCTGTGAACCTTACTCTGTGCACCAAACTGCATTCATGCCTTTTTAGCATAATTTGCCTTGTGGGTATACTTATGGAATTGTAGTTGTACAATTTTGGAAGTATAATTGTGCGTTTATGGAATTGTAGTTATACAATTTTGGATGTATTACTCTGTGAACCTTACTCCGAGCACCAAACTGCATTCAAATCCTTTTTAGCATAACTTGCCTTGTGGGTATACTTATGAAATTATGGAATTGTAGTTTTACAATTCTGGAAGTATAGTTGTGTGTTTATGGAATTGTAGTTATGAAGTTTTGGATATAGTACTCTGTGAACCTCACTTGATGTTTTTTATTTGCAGAAATGGATGAGTCAAGTGTGGCAGATGACGCTACGCTTGGTCAATTTGTGAAGTCTGTAAAAAAAAGAACAACCAGAGCAGTATTGAGCTCACAAGCTGCTCAACTCACCCCTGCCCAGGAAGATCAAGCAGAGCCTTCGACAAGGCAACAACCAGCAGCTGTGAAAAGAAAGAGGGCACCACCACAAAAGCGAGAGAAAGTACGGGACCCTGATGTGAATTACTTCAGTACACGAATGGGTCCCAAGCAAATGTATGAGCTTGTCCAACGTCTAACACAGGACCAAAAGGATGCTGTGATTGATATGGGTTTTGGAGGGCTGCTGCACCTACAATTCTCAAGCAATTACTCACAACTTGTTGAGTATCTTCTGCAAAGGTTTGATGTTTTCAAATCAGACTTCATATTGGATGGTGACCATCTACATGTCGATGAAGAGGATGTTGAATACATCTTGGGACTCCCCCGGGGGAAGAGAGATGTTGAGGAAGGTACAAAGGGTGAGGAAAATTCTACAGCTGCATATAATAAGGTCCTGACTGAGTGGAGGAAAAGATGGAATGTCCAAGTCAGGGTCACCCATAACAACAAAGATGCCTGATGAAATAATCAGGAGAGGTGACCATGGAGATGCCTTCAAGAGAGACTTTGTGGTGTTTGCTGTCTCATCTCTGCTCCGAGGAAATACTGGAAGATATGCCAACTATCGAGTTCTCAAGTCATTGCTCAACATCCGGGCAATCTCAAGACTTAATTGGTGCAAGTACACGTACAAGTCTTTCATTGATTCATATGACATTTACAAAGACTCTCCTACCAGATCCTTTGGAGGTCCAATGGTATTCATCCTGATAAGATCCCATTATACATAAACTGTTCTAATTATGGAATTATATTTATGCAATTATGTAATTGTAGATATTCAATTCTGGATGTGTGGTTATGCACCTATGGATGTGTAGTTTTGTTTTGTGGAATTATGGTTTTGAAATTATGGAATTATTGTTTTACAATTATGGAATTATAGTTATCCAATTATGAATGTGTGGTTTTGTAATTATGGAATTATATTCATTCAATTATGGAATCATAGATATGCAATTCTGTATGTGTGGTTATGCCCTTATGGATCTGTTGTTTTGTAATTGTGGAATTGTGGTTTTGCAATTATGGAATAATAGTTTTACAATTATGGAATTATAGTTATGCAATTATAGATGTGTGGTTTATGGATTATGGAATTATAGTCATCCAATTATGGAATTATAGCCATGCAATTATGGAATTATAGTTATGCAATTCTGGATATGTAGTTTTATAATTATGGAATTATAGTTATGCAAATAAGAATGTGTATCCATACAATTCTAAATATGTAGTTATTCAATTCTTTAACATACTCTTCTGTAATTCTTGAAGCTCTTCTACTTTGACCGAGTAGAGTTCAGAGGCATGACTGTCAACCGAACATTCCCGGCAATCAAAGCTTGTACAAAAATGCTTGTACGCAAGCGAGTATCGGCTGAGATAAAATCAGGGGGTTTTGGTAAGGGAAAAGTTATCCCTCGATTTCAGAGACCTACTGCCATTGCATCTACATCATCACCCCGACCTGCACCTCCTCCTGCTGCAATACCAAGGCCAGTGTGCAGCCCTGTTGCTACACCATCTATTCCAGCTCCATCTGTGCCTCTGACTAATGTTGACCGAGTAACACATGTGCTTCAATGGCTTACAGCAGATGTCCTTGAGTTCGGTCAGGTCATGTCTGACATTGGCAAGCAAGGGGCCCCGGTTGACATCATGAAGAGGGCTTTTTCAGGAATATCAACAATGCTGAGTGCTGCAAGCACAATTCAACCGACTCCTAGCCCAACTGCCTCGCAGTTGGATGACATCTTCTTTGGAAGTGAAAGCTTCACATCAGCAGTTGATTATCTGGTAGCAGCTTTTGAAAAAACCAGAAAAGAAATGGAAATAGAACCCCCATCGTTTGATCTACTTGGACACTCTACACCAACCCCACCACCATCTCAATAGCAGCCTTTGGACACCCTGGTGGATAACATTGTGAGGAGTGCAGGAGTATCAACCTCAACGGAGAAGGAAGCAACTCCATTACTAATCAGAGTGCCATTCGAAAAATCCACCACTCCTACTACCCCTGCTGCCCAAGCTGCTGCTGAGATTGATGAATTTGATAAGTAGGTTACTGCTTTCTTATGCAGATTTAGACTATGAATATGATTTTCAATTCATCAATAATTATGAATATTAAGTTTGATTAATATGAATATATTCTTATTCAACTATTGACATTGATTGTTACAATTATGGATATGTATTTCTCAAATTATGGACATATAGTTTATAGATTATGGAAATGTAGTTATACAATTCTGGAATTATACTTGTGGGGTTATGAACTGCCTCTGTTTTCTTCTGGACAACAGAGCTATGGAAGAAAGTTAATATGATGTTGAGGATGTTACTGTGAGAAAGAGACCTGTGCGCAAATTCAGAAACATCCCACTTTATTTGAGGTCACCATATTGGAATAAGAACAAAGGCTCCATCAGTAATGCAACTCCCAAAGAAAAGGTTTTTTCAAACTACGCATTTTTGGAAGCCTCAAGTGAGCACCCGGGAGGGTATGTTTCCATCCACATATTTTACTTAAATTTTATTCATTAATTTATGTTCTTATATTTATTTATTTACTGTATTGTAGAGAGACATTGTTCAAATATGGTGATTACTACTTGTCAAGGGATGATTTTGCAACTCTGTGCAATGGTGAGCTACTGAGCACCTTCCTAGATGTCTGGTCCCTACGTTTTACATTGCTAAACATGTCCCGTGCGGTTGGGGAGACAAAGCGGGTCTACTTCTCCACCCTAGTACATGTAAGTGTTCACAAATTATGAATATATAGTTTTTAGATTATGGATATGTAGTTATTCAGTTCTGGATGTGTACCTGTGAACCCCTGGTTTTATAGTTTTGTAATTCTGGAATTATAGTTATGCAATTATAGAACTATAGTTATGCAATTATGGAATTGTAGATATGAAATTATGGAATTATAGTTATGAAATTATGGAATTATAGTTATGCAATTATGGAACTATAGTTGTGCAATTCTGGAAGTGTATATATATAACTCTGTATGTATAACTTTAACATTTTCAACAAATATTATTTGGATTATGACTACTCATTCCTGCATTTTTGTATGCAGCTTCAAATTGATCCCAATGACCAGTGGATGAAGGATCTCCCAACTGACATAAAAATGAAGAATTTCAATGAGAGATTGAGCTATGAAATAACCAGCTTCGGGAACCTAGACATCAGTGATGCAGATCTGGTAAGTTCTATTACCCATGTCCAATTTGACTTTATCATGTCCAAAAAAATACTAACATTGCTTTAACTTTGAATTGGAATTAGATATTTTTCGCAGTTCATCGCCATGGTCACTACTTCTTGGTCTGCTTCAATGTGAAAGAACATAAAGTACAGGTCATTGACAACAAGGAGTTACCAGCTGATGTTTCAGAGAAGGACAAATATGGCAACTGCCCACACTTATTGGTAATTTTGATAAAAAAAAAAAAAAACTTGACATTCTTACCATTACCTATCTATTGACTTAAAAGCATTATTAACACTAAACTAACTTTTCTTACCAGATTGAAGCATTCAGTGGTTACCTTAAGGCCGAGTGCCACTCCTTGTATGTGAAATTGCAAAAAGTTGATATAAAGTACCTTAAGTTGGACTGGGCAAACACTGAAAATGTCACTGATTGTGGAATCTATGTACTCCGGCATATGGAGACATTCCGAGGGACTCTATAAGACTGGCAGCCAGGATTCAAGAAGAATATGCGCTTGAATATAAGACTACAATATATATTATAGTTTCAAAATACATTAAAAAAAAAATAAAACTGCAAATGACTAATTACTTAATGTTCTTTGTTTATAGGCAAACTTCATGTGCGAACTGCAAGCGAAATATGCTGCCAACCTCATAAAGTGGAGAATGAATGCAGTCAGGGGGGAGGTTCTACAAGCGGCCAAAAGTGTTTCGAAGAAGAATTGAATGAATATTCTTCAACATGTTGACTGAATTCTAAACAATGTGAAAGTTTTTGTGAACTACACTGACAATGTGACTTGTATTTTGTGAATGCATGATGTTAATTAGGGGTGTAAATGAGCCGAGCCGCTCGTGAGCGGCTCGGTCAACGCTCGGCTCGAGCTCGGTCAAAATCGAGCTCGAGCCGAGCTCGAGCGGCTCGTCAAATAAACGAGCACGAGCCGAGCCTAGATACTCTAGGCTCGTGGCTCGTCGAGCCGGCTCGCGAGCCGTATAATATACAATATAATATATAATATTATATAATTAAAATATATAAAAATAATAATTAAAATTTAAAACTCAAAAGTGAAAACTTAAAAGCCCTATTGTTTTGAACATATCCGGGACGAAATATATATGTACAAGGAATCAAGGACTACTACTGTTGACTTGTGTTTTGTTGTGATTTGCAAACTTATTTTGAATGTTTTGAAGTTTGAACAAACAGACTTGTGTCTTCACTATCTTTTACTTCGTTGCGAAATTATTTTGAGTGTTTTGATTTGAAGTTTGTATTATTTATGTATGGATAAAACAGAGCAGTTTAAATTTTAAATCAAATAGGTTAAACCGTCAAATTCAAGGTTAAGATCGAGCACGCATTTGAACCCGAGCTCGAGCCTGATCTCGAGCTCGAATTCGAGCTCAAAATCAAGCTCGAACTCGAGCTCAAGATCGAGTTCGAGCTCGAGCTCGAACAATCGAGCTGCTCGAGCCGAGCTCGAGCAGCTCGATAATTGCCGAGCTCGAGCTCGAGCATCCAGTTACGAGCTCGATCGAGCTCGAGCATAGCTGCATTTAACGAGCTCGAGCTCGAGCATACCCATGCTCGAGCTCGGCTCGACTCGTTTACACCCCTAATGTTAATAGCTGAATAACAATTTACATCTGATCTATGCACCTCTTTCTCTTTTCTTTTCTTTTTTATTTTTTTTTTTTTTGTTTTTTGTTTTTTGTTTTTTTTTTTTTTTTTTGTTTTCACGTATCAAATCTATAATTGCATGACTACTATAAATCCATAATTGCATAACTATAGTTCCATAATTGCATAACTATAATTCCATAATTTCATAACTATAATTCCATAATTGCATATAAACAATTCCATAATTGCATAACTATAGTTCCATAATTGCGTAACAATAATACCATAATTGCAAAACTATACATCAATACTTGCATAACTATACACCACAATTTCGTAACTACAAATTCCATCACAATGGGAACTACACATGCATAAATGCATAACTATATTTTCATAATTGCATGACTATAATTTCATAATTGCATACCTTTCATAATTGCATGACTACAGTTCCATAATTGCATAACTATAATTCCATAATTTCATACATGAAGAATACGTAAACAATGACAACATAAAATTCCTAACTCGGAAATCAGCTTGAAACTACAAGAAATGTCTAAATTCCCTGGCTTAAAACTAACCTCATGCCTTATAATGTCTATATCTGGCCGTCACACGTGATACTTCTATTGATGGCCATCATTCAAAACCATTTCTTGATGACAAGCACTGCCTTTCATGAATTGTTCTTCAAACAGAAAATATATCTCAATCGTGTATACTTCTCTAGCATGTGAAAGAAGTTTCACGTGCTCCATCATCATAGCGGGTACCCCTTGAGCACAACGAAAGTTTTCACCATTCTCTTTACTTCTCCATTCAGAAATTACACTTACAAATGATGAATAGAAATCACAAAGACCCGCTGTCTTGGACAACCTTCTAGAAATTGAGTGATTTGTAGTTTCACTCCTTTGTGACGACAAAATGCCCCCAGAAAAATAGTCCTTGTTAAATGCTGTACACCACTTCTCCCTACTGTCATATAGCTTTTCTAACCAAGTATTCTTGTGGCATTTATAGTCAGTCACCAACCTGAAAATGGTAAGACAAAATCCCAGATGTTTATGAAGCAGAATATAAACAAACAACATCACCACATCTAACACATGCTCAAAATTTCTACTGCTATATATACATAATTGGAATACTATATGTCCATAATTGATAGACTATATATCCATAATCCATACACTACATTTCCAGGCACAACCAGTCAGTTCAACTGCTATATATCCATAATTGAAATACTATATATCCATAATTGAAATACTATATATCCATAATTGATACACTATACATCCATAATCCATAAACTACATTTCCAGTGACCACCAGTCAGTTCACCTGCTATACATCCATAATTACTATACTATACATCCATAATTGTTAAACTATACATCCATAATTCATATACATCTATAATAAATATACTAAATGATCAGAACGGCTAATACTGCATACATATGAAATATAATCCAATAAAAATAATGAATTACTAACATACCTTGTCCAATAGAATTGAAATTCAGCTTCGGTCTCTGTGTATTTCAACACGTAGTTAAACATATCCAAGAAATCCTTATTGTTCCTTAACATCTTGATATGCTTCTTTGAATTCTCACCAATATGCCATATGCAAAGACGGTGACGTGATGTTGGAAACACTGTAGATATAGCAGCAGCCATAGCTGCACATTGATCTGTCATAATAGTCTGTGGACACTTGCAACCCATAGATCTTAAAAACGCTTTAAACAACCACACAAACGATTCTATCCTCTCGTTCATCAAAAACCCGCATCCAAACATTACATTCATGCAATGGTGATTCATCCCTACGAAAGGGCCACAAATCATATCATATTTGTTTGTGCGATATGTCGTATCGTGCACTACCAAATCCCCAAACAACTCATAATCTCGTCTCATTTGACCATCCCTCCAAAAAAAACTGCACAATCTTGCATCCAAATCAAGTTCAAAATCAAAGAAAAAATCAGTCTCGGTAGACTGCCTCCTCCTAAAAATTTCAATTAAAGAGTTAGAATCCGTTCCATCCAATCGCTTGACTGTATCCGCAGCCATTGAATTATAAGCATCTCTATTGGTGAAACCAACTAATGGGGACCCCCCTGATTGGTGTTTTAGGAACCTAATACCATCTACCAGTGCAACTCCACTGTCCTTCAAACCTTGTAAATATAAGAGCTGATTATCTCCGACACTCTTATGTGAACGAAGTAGATGACTCTTGTTGAACAGACATAACTTGTGATTGTGCACTTTCTCGTGTTTTGTAACTGTCCACAACCCATCATCACCCACGTCAAACTGAACAAACGCTCCACACCCTGTCCTTGTGTCAATTTTGGAATAAGCCTTAACCCCACTGTTTGCCTTATAACCAGCCTTAGAACAACAAAACTTCTTCATTTGAATTGTGTTAGTAGATCCCTTGTACCGTTGATGACCCTTCCTCACACTAAAACCAAGTCTATATGCATAATTGTTATACAACTCAAAAGCCTCATCAACATTACTTACTACCAACCCAACCAAATCTTGATCAACTGCAAATATAACACAATAATAACCATTTCCATTAAACTATAGTTCCTAACCAGAATTTTCTAATTAAAAGGTAAACCACTATGAATAAACCTGGAATTGATGAAGATCCATCAACGTCTACATCTGCTTGATCTGAACTCACTGAACCATCCACAATGCCTTCACTAACTACATTATATAGACATGGTGAACATTATTTCAAACAGTTCATCAAACAACAAAAACAGAGTACCTGCAGATTCTGGATATATAGTTATGTGATTATGGAAATATAGTTATACAATTCTGGATACACATACGCAACAAACTGCCAAAACAGAGTACCCCCTAATTCTGAATATATAGATATGCAATTCTGGAAATATAGTTATGAAATTATGGAATTATTGTTTTGAAATTCTGGAATTGTTGTTATACAATTATGGATATATACTTATGTGATTTTGTATACATATTTGCACAACTAAATGGCAGATTCTAGACACAAACATCACTGCTAACAACAATTGTATCATAGTGAATCACAAAATCATACAAAAAAAAAAAAAAAAAACAAAAGGAACAAATGCAAAAACAATAGCAAGATCACCTTGAATCGAATGCCCATCACCAACTGCGGAATTCGTCTGCTCTGTTCCATCCTCCATCTAACAATCACTTTGTATTCCGATCGCAACTGCGATCACGATTTGCGAATGCGATTGCGATTGGGATTCCGATTGCGATTCCGGTAATATCGAATGCCAATTCCACAGCGAACAACTGCCAACGATCGAGTTGGAAACTTGGAAACAAACTCAAAAGGAAATAAACGCCGTTAACGGATTTTTTTATTTTTTTTTTGTATAAAACACCGTGTCCTTACTCAAAAACGACGTCGTGTGCATCGGTATGCACCATGCATGGTGCATACCGATGCACAGCATAATTTGCCGTCCTTTTCGCGGGGTAGGACGGACTTACCCAACGGGCTAAGCCCGTTTTGACGGCTCTACATATGAGTGACAGAAAAAGCAATAAAAGAAATGGCATAAAGAAAATTATTTTCCTTTTTTTTTTTTTCTAAAGAGGAAATGATTATGGGAAATTTAATTTTCTTATTTCTTAATCTTTGTGGAGCTTATTCTAAACTATGCCTTAATACTTTCTTTTTTTTTTTTTTTTTTGGGTTTGTAAAACACATATTGACAAATATCTTCTACTCTACTAGTATTCAAATAATTTTTATTAAAAAAATATTTGATGTACCGTCGATGTATAGTTGCTATACACTAACGAATATGAAAAACATATATACATCTCCTCCTTAATCGCTAGTGTATAGCATCCCGACCAAGCATCAAATTTTTTTACGTTTTTATTTACATTTTCTTTCGTAAAGTTTGACTATCATAAAAAGTACACTATAATATGAAGTTGCTCGTATATCCTGTTATATAGAATTTCTTCTAGAAATTATTATATTTTTTAAAAAACATGAGTGTGACGAAAATGAGAATGTATGTTTAGTAACATGCGTTACCGGTGGCGAATCCAAAAAAATTTCTCGGTGGGGGCGAAATATTAAAACAAAATAAATAGCTTAAAAAAATGATACACTTAAAGAAGTTAGCCATAAATATTGTTAGATATGAGCGAAGTGTATGTGTGTGTGAAAATCTGAATTTGTTTTTTGAAAGCCTAAAAAATTAATAAGACTGTACTGAAGCCACTATATTCAAATCTATATATATATATATATATATATATATATATATATATATATATATATATATATATATATATATATATATATATATATATATATGGTAAAACTTATTTGGTAAGTAAATGTCAAATGGAAATTAAATAAATAATAATAATAATAATAATAATAATAATAATAATAATAATAATAATAATAATAATAATGTTATTGTTGACACTTAAATTTTGATAAATATTGATTATTTATCAATATTAGTATATTTAAATATATTTAAAATATTTTGGATAATATTGATATTATCTAATTAACAAATTAGATAATATCAAAAGAGTTTGAGCTTATCAAAACTCTCCATCCGACAGCTATAAATAGGGCCTTTCATTTCTATGTAATCAGACACATCCTAGGAAAAATCATAGAAAGTATTCAGAGATCACAATAAAAATGTGATCCTGAAAGTAAAAGCCCCTCCTCTTCCATATGTTGATGCGTGTTGATCCAAACCTCTATTGAAGATCAAGCCATTTGAACCCGGAGGCCCTTCAAGAAGAACAAGCTATATATACAAGCTCTTCTTTGAAGATCAAGCCACTTGAAGCTCGGAGGCCTTTCAATGGTGGAGTGTTCAAGGCATCAAATTGGAGAATCAGAGGACATCCAGAGATCTTGTACCCACACCGCATTGATACTTGATATGTAAACCAGAACTTTGAATTTCTAAATATATATTCAATTTTCTTTGTTCACAGTTATTACCTTAAATAAATAAATTATTATACTTTCCCTTAAATAAATAAATTATTATACTTTCCTTTTGAATTAGTATTTTCTACCTATAAATACAAGGGCTTCTTCAATCAAAGAATCTCAGACTCATCTCTATTTCTTTTTGTATGAATTTTCTACATTTTTCTAACTATATTCTCACCTAGTTCAATATGTTTTGCAGTTTATATCGTCTGGTATGAGTTTGAAGATACTTAAGGAGGCTCTGCTTCAACAAAAGGAAATTGAGGATGAAGAGCATTTGTAACAGAACCCTATTGGTTTAGTTTTTGATTGTAGAGATGCGATCGAGGATGATAAAGATGGTAATTTTGATAATTTTGTAAGATTTTATGAAACTTAGAGTTAGTATGTTGATTTCGAGATTTGTACATGTCATTCAAGTTTCTATGTTTTTTTTAACAAGCAGAGTTCATTTTACAGCATTTTTATAATATATATATATATATATATATATATATATCACAACTTTTTTTTTTGAAAGTTATTGGCTCATATATATCACAACTTTAGTAGAGTGTTTGTTTAACCTTTTAAAAATCTCGCTATATTTGTTTTTTTTCTAAATTTTTGTAAAACACAAAAATAATGATTATTTAAAAAGAAGAAATAAATAACAAATACAATTTCAGATTTTGTGTTACTCCATTCACATATTAGTATAAATAAAAAAAAAAGTAATAAAATAAAATACAAAGGAAATATAAATTTTTAACCAAAAATTTAATTAGAGAAACCTCTCAAAAAAATCCACGTTGTATTGAACCCAAATAAAAAAAAATACTGCCAATGGCACAATCATAAGGATCAAAGGGAACAATGGAAGACCCAGAAATCTAGACATCATTGATGTACCGAACGGTGATGAGAGACTCAGAAATGGCACAATATTGAAATTATATAGAGTGTATTTATACACCATGGATGAGTTCATATAGAGTGTATTTATACACCATGGATGAGTTCAAAATGGCACAATATTGAAATTATAAAATGGTAAGAGATCTCAAAAAAGGTAAAACTTTTAAATTTTCAGTTAATACAAAAAATGTTATAATTGCCGAAAATATATATCTTTAACTTTAGACAAGAATTAAAAACGAAATCATAAACAATTTTAATAATTGACTATTTCATTTATATGTTTCTTGAAAAATGATGGGCATGAACAGGCTGACTCATCGTGAAATATAGTAATTAATGAATTACCATTAAAATTAGTATAGTAATGAAAGAATTATCATTTGTATGTTGACATTTTCCCCTGTTTAGTACCATTCAAATGTTTGATACCAAAAATTATACTATATAAACACAAAATATGCATATATGGTAAATATGCAATTTATATATATATGCCCCTAAGTTTTGGGGATAAACTTGGTTAGGAGGATTTTACTTTTAATTATATATAGATATAGATTATTCTCATAATTTTTCTTTTCTTCTTTTGTGTTATTATTATGGTAATTTTATGGTAATGTATTTAAAGATTGAAAGAACAAATGTTATAATTAATAAAATTATTGTGGTAATTGCCACAATATTTGGTAACTATAATTAATATAATTAATGAAATTGAGAATATATGATTTCTTCCGTAGAAATATTTGTGACAACTTCATTAAATTATAATTAATAAAATATAAAATATAATTAAAGAAATGAAATTATAAAATTAACAAAACATGAATATTTATATTTTTTTAAAATATACATACATATACTCTTTAAATTTCTAAATATAATTTTTTAACTATAAATCTATCAATATAAATTATAATTAATGAAATTATATTATAGGACTTTCCTATATACATATTAATAAATATTATGTGTATATACAAGTATTATACAATTATATAAGGATATGCGTCCGATTGGAATATTTATTTATTCACACAAAATTTAAAATTTATATTTTTTTTATTGATTTCTAAGTACAATTCTCTTAGTTATATTATTCATATTTTTAAATTTCATATATAGATATGAAATACAAATTGGAATAAATCAACTTAATTATATGAATTTTTTTATAAATTTATCTAAATATGTACATGATTAGAGATTATATTAACCATACAAAATTTAAATTTTAATTTTGTATGTTATGAAAATAGATACTTGACTAAATATATAAAAGTCCAACTATATTATTATATTGTACATTTTAACATCTTTTTTTTTCTATTTTTATTTTAAATTCATAATAGCAAAAATAAAATCCCATGCAATGCATGGATAAAACACTATATTTAAAAAATACAATTTGATAAATATCATAAATTAATTAGTAAAATATCATTTATGTTTATAATAATTAAATAAAAAATAAATAATTCAACTATGTGAACCAAAAATTTCAAAATGAAATTAATGTACAGTTACAAATAAATATAACATGTTTAATTAGTTTTAATTCCCTTAATGATATGACTTTTCTTTATCAGTTTTTTGATGGAAGACTAAGTGAGTGTTTGGGTTGCTGAAAATTATTTTTTTAAAAAAAATACTTACTAATAAAAATAATTTTAAAATATTTTTTTTACCCCTCATAACATGTGTAAATCTTATATTTTTTAAAAATAGAATTTGATAAATATCATAAATTAATTAGTACAATATCCTTTCTGTTTATAAATTATAATAATTAAAAAAAATTAAATATGTGAACCAATGATTTCAAAATGAAATTAACATACAGTTACAATTAAATATAACATGATTAGGTTTACTTTAATTAGTTTTAATTTTCTTAATGAAGTGACTTTTCTTTATCAGTTTTTTATGGGAAGCTAATGGAGTGTTTGGATTGCTGGAAAATATTTTAAAATAAAAATACATATTAATAAAAAATATTTTAAAATTATTTTTTAACCCCTCATAACATGTGTAAATGTTATATATTTTTTTAAAATACAATTTGATAAATATCATAATTTCTGTGTATAATAGGTAAAGAAAAAAATAAATAATTCAAAGATGTGAACAATGATTCACGTTGAGTTATTACCGAAAAAATCAGTTTTTAATCACGGTTAATTATATGTGACTTTTTCCCGAGTCACCCATCCTGATGGTCTGATTGTTTTAACTCTAGACGAGGATGAATAAAATCCCGTTACTACTACTAATGTCGTCTACAAAGAGATTTTCAATAATGTATAATTCAATCCATTGATATTATGTTTTTTAATATAAAAAGATGACAAAATTGCTATATATCTACATAGAAAATATAACTTCCATATAAATAATTTCTATAACTGAGTTGCTAGACAACGAGTTAATTAGCTCAATTAATACAAATTATAAACACTGATATATAAAATCTCTACAGTTGCAGCAACGAATGCGTATGTCTACACGTTAGCTATTAATTGAGAAATTATTTACTTGAATTCAAGCATTGATAACATCAGAAAACATAATCGATGCAACTCAATTCTTCAATTATATTATATAATATTCGATGTTATAATTTATACAATTGTATATTAATCTAAATATTTTTAAAATATTATAACAAATTTATTCCGTGCAACGCACGGGCACAAATACTAGTAGCCATAAAAACTACATAACCGCCCTGCCATTTAAGCTAACTCATTTTTTGTTAACATGAGCTGTTTTCTTTTACATACTAAACCTTGTACTATATATATAATGCTTATATATGGAGTGGGGATGAGGTGAGTGGGGGCAGCTGCCTCCACTGTCCCAACTGTAGCTCCGCCCATGTGCGTTACCATTAATAATCCTACAGTTAAGCACCTATTAATTGGTGCGTAAAATCCCTCACATGGCAGATATTTAATATGAGCTTTTCTCAAGTATTTTGGAATATTTATTCCAAATTAAAGAGTATTTAACTCGAAAATATTATTTGGATAAAATAATTTGTTATCAAATATTTTATTAAATGATATGGAATGCGAAAAGGATTTTTTTTTCTTGAAATTCTTTATATTTATTAATTGCTTGTAAAGTGATACATTCATGATTCATTATTTATGAATTAAAAAATAAATTTCAAATGATTTAAAAAAGAATTTGATTGATATGACAATTTTATATGGTACATCAAGATAATAAAATTTGCCATGATAATATAAGTTATTCATTATTTGGGTCAAGTTCCCGTGCGGACAGCATTTTCAGTGCGGTCACGCACCATTAGGCACACATAAATGTACCTCAAAGTGTTTAAAAATGCACCATTAATTGTTGTGCATTTTTTTTTTGTTGGTGTGTGGTGCATTTTGTGGCGCATTTATACATTTCATTTTGATGCATTTTCGAATAATGTGTGATGCATTTATACATACTTAATAGTATGTGCAATCCACATCGACTGCACGTGAAGGGAAGTCGTGTCCTCATTTGAACCAATATCTTCATCATCCATAAGTTAAATGAAGCTAGGAAGCATTCAATTGCAATTAAAGGTGCGCATTGAGTCGCTAACTAAATTTCCTCATTTGTCGCAAAATCACTCATTCTATACCTTCTTCCCAAACTTCTTGCATGCTTAATTATAAATATCCTTCATTTCTTCTCCCACAAAAGAAGCCATAATCCACCAAAAATAAATAATAAGAATAAAAGATCGAACCAAATGGCGGCTTTCATGAAATCATTGCTTCTTTTATTGGCTTGCACTCTCCTCCCCATTATCCAGAGTGAAATTATCTGTGAGAATTTACCCATATCTACTTGTGCATTTTCAGTCTCCTCTTATGGGAAGAGATGTTTGATAGAGGACACAGTGTTACTCGACGGGAAGGTGGATTACAAGTGCAAGACGTCGGAGGTGGTGGTCGGAAGTAGCACGTCGGATTACATAGAGACGGACAAGTGCGTCAAAACATGCGGCGTTGATCGGAAATCTGTCGGCATGTCATCGGATCCTTTCCTTGACTCACTTTTCATGGCTAAGCTTTGTGCCCGTGCATGTTATGATTATTGCCCCAACCTCGTCGACCTCTATGCCAACATTGCCGCCGGCGAGGGAGTGTTCTTGCCGGAACTGTGCGAGCAAATACGTAGTGGGGAGGGTTCTCGTCGTGGCATGGCGGAGATACAGAGTGGCGGCGGTGACAGTGCCGCTGCACCCGCGGGGGCGCCCGCGGCGGGTGATGATCTTCCACGCCGTGCCATGATTGGGATTGATGCTGAAGCGCCTAGCCCCGCTTAGTGTGTAGCCGATACATACACCAATTTAACACCCTCTCCCTTTTATTTGCTTGCTTGGGATTGGGTCATTTCAACAAGAGTTTGGAATGGGTTTGCTTTTATTGTGGAAATTCTGTTTTCTTTACTATTCATATTAGAGCGCAAAAAAACATATTAAATCTTAGAATTTAGGATCAATTCATTCAATATTTCATTTTTTAGAGGACAATTTAATTTCTCACATTTAAATTATGTATTACATATATACAAGTTCAAATGTGAACATTGCTTCTCATGTGTCTGGTGCGGGTTTAACTTGTTCCCTCTTCACTTCTATATAAATCGCATTAAATTTTTAAATAATTTGGTGAGATAGATTGAGAACAAGCTTAAAGAGATCTGGAAGACCCTATCTACAAAGATACGAGTCATCAAATATTCAATTTAGTCCTTTGATTATAGTGATTTTCATTTTTATAATTTTCTAATTGTTCTAAAGTCTTATAAGTTGATTGCTCGGCTTCCGTTTTTATTTTCTGTAAGCGAGCTCGGGTTGTTCAATGGCCCCACCGCGCAATTCTTCTGAATTTTGAATAGTATTTAAGATCCTCTGTTTTCGATTATCTAATAAATCACTTAATGAAAGTAGATTATTTTTCCATTCATTTCAAAACTTCCATAATCCCTTCCCGAACCAAACATGAATCTTTCGATTCATTCGGCTCTCACGCTCAATTATTTAAAAGAGAAATTTCCATACATTTTTTTTGTGACTTTTTATGCTTAATTAGGTCTTCGATTTTGATGATTTTATGTACAAAATCACATCATACTAGATGACAAAGACACAAGATGGTCCTGGGTACAAAATCAATTCAAGAAGTACAATGTGCTTAATTAGGTCTGGTTTTGCCCTGGTCAAAGAAAAATTGACAATTGATCCTAGGCACAAGATGACCCTGGGTACAAAATCAAGAAGTACAAAAAAGCTTGGTACAACGCGTAAAATGACATTCCCAAAATTTTACATTCTTCTTTGCCAAATGAAGAGTCTATGCATAATTTTATATAGACATTGAGGCATTGGCGCAATATTCAACAATCTACCAGAGTTGACACAATATTAGAACAAGAGGCTCAGTACTTTGCATAAATCCCACCGAAGTACTAACACTCATAATGGTGGACACATGTTTGGCATTTTGACAACCAATACACTAAGAGCATCTCCAATCCACCCAACTCTAAAACACATTAGAAGGAATATTCTCACACCAAATTTTATTCATCTCCAACCCATTTACACCAAAACACCAAACTTTTACACTAAAATAATTTTATTTTTCAATTATTATTTTGATTTTAATTAGTTTAATATAATTTAATTCGAACTTACTTAGTTTAATATAAAATGTAACTTGTGATGTAAATAATAATTTTTATTAACATTAATTTTTTTATAAAATTAATTATTTTAAAAATCGAATTTAACAATATTTTTTAAAATTTAATTTATTCCACAATAATAATATAGCATACAACATCTAGTACAAATTAGTCTTTGAAATTTTAATTAATATATATTCAATATTAGTCTTGTTTCGATCATCCCAATGAGATCTTTAAAATGATATAATTTTTATTTAATAATACAAACTTTAAATATAAGTATTTAACAAAATAAAAAAATTACATATAAAACAAATAAAGGATACATTTGGAATTATAAAAAAGAAGTAAGGGCAAAAGGGTCATTTTCATCCCATTTTTTATTTGCCGCGGATGAACAGTGCAATTCATTAACGCCAAACATTTTGGCATTATAGCGGTTTGGCGTTCCACCTTAGAGAGACAACATTTTCATTTTTGCTGCTTTGGCATTGAATTTTGCAGATATAGCGCCCACCTTGGAGATGCTCTAAAGGGTTGTCGAATGTTACATGTCATTGCTATCACCTATCTGACTTTCCAAAATTAGTAGCTATGTTTCAAAATAGACATTCCACTAGTGAGTAATGTAACAAGCTGAATTGTGTTGCGTTAGCCAGTCAATGTTGATAAGGAGATGTCCGCCTAGAAATAGTACAAGTACAATGTAATCATTCGCTCATATAACAACCCAAAGAGGGATATATAAGGTTACACTTGAATCAACTTCCTATTCTTTGGGCCAGTCACGCTATGTTAAGGTAAATTTGACTAACCAGACATGTAGTTGCAGTCGTTGGGCTGTAGATGGCTTACCTTGTGCACATGCCATTGCCGCATGCCATTATAGAGGGATTGTCCCGAACTCCTTTGTGCCGCGAGTCTTCTTGTTAGAGTATTACATAACGAGCTATGCAGGAGGTTTGAATGCATTGGCGGATGACGAAGTTCAGCTGACCACAATGCTCACGTGCCTGCCAACCTCATGTGCATGCCAGAAAGCTCATAGAGGTCAACAACATAGAAGTCGATTTCCTAATGAAATGGACTTTGATAGTCGATCGCTGTCGTCGATGACGATATGTCTTCTATGTAATCCATTGCTCCTTTGGTAATATGAATGCCGTGAAAAGTTACAATATAGTTGCACTAATTACACATTTATAATTACCATATTCACCGCAGTATAAATAACGAAATAAATAAATAAATACTTAATAAAAAATAGTTAAAATTACATTATTAGTATCATGCAATCTACCGTACTACTAATGACTATTTAAAAATAAAAAAAAATCTTTGTTTATGTTATTAATTAATATTTAATAAAAATAAAGATTATTATAACAAATTCGAAGTAATACAAATCGCATTTTATTGCCTTCTTCTCAGTTTTTAAAAAAATGGGAGTGCAAATAAGACAATACCATTGTCTTTTCAAATATGATTTTGAAAAGAAGGTAATGACACTAATGGCATGTTTGGTTCATGGAATAGGTCAGGAATGAAATAACATTCCTTGGAATAGACCTATTCCATCGTTTGGTTGGATCATTTTGCCATGGGAATAGCATGCCTAGGAGGCCTTGGTATTAGCTATTCCCATGCCCATGGGAATAGCTTTTATATCACAAATACCAAAAATACCCTTTGCACATTATATAATATTTATATTTATTTAATAAATATAGTGTATTATATAAATGTATATATTTAATTAATTATAATTTTTATCCATCAATATATATATATATATATATATATATATATATATATGTAAAAAAATTAACTGTATAAGACTCCTTAATTATGGAGTCTTGGCTCCTAAATTAAGTAGTCTGCTCATCTGCATGCCTAGCGGATGGGCTTTGCAAGCTTGCCTAGCGGATGAGCATTGCAATTGAAATTATGGAGCCTTGAGGCTCCTTTTATAGGAGCATCAAGACTCCATTCCTTACTTCTTCAACCGATGTGGGATAAGTGAGAAAATAAATATAAAAATAAATATGTATTTGTATAATAATAATAATAATAATAATAATAATAATAATAATAATAATAATTATTATTATTATTATTATTATTATTATTATTATTATTATTATTATTGTTGTTGTTGTTGTTGTTGTTGTTATTCTCTCTCTCTCTCTCTCACACATGCATATACATGTATATAAATACAAATACAAATATAAATATAAATAATATATATATATATATATATATATATATATATATATATATATATATATATATATATATATATAACATTCAGTATATCATAATCATATTCATTATTATTATTATTATTATGTATAAGGGTATTTATGTCTTTAAAACCTATTCCATTTCTATTCCTTTAACCAACCAAACACTGGAATACAATTACTAAAGTCTATTCCTTCATCGAACCAAACAACATAATACAATTCATATTCTATTCCTTACCTATTCCATTCCATGTGGAATAGCATTCCTATTTCCTCCAAATTGATTCCGTGAACCAAACGTGCTGTAATACTTTTCACAAGTTTATTTAAGATTATATATCCACAAAATTTTGCTCTCATTGTTGTCAAATCTACACATTTTTGGCTATGTCTCATTTGAGGAAGCTCCGCGCATAACTCTCCAGGAAGAAGAAGTGCAAATTAAAGAAGACAGTAAATTCACGTGTCAATTTTATTTATTTTTTAAATTCATGTGTCAATCCCAGTAAACACAAACCTACAAGTTTCTTGCTAAAAATGCTTATTGCAACGTTTTGCGGGTTTTGTGGATTTATTTGGAGCTTATTCGAATTTGGTGATTTAATTACTATTTTCTAAATAATTTGATGACTTATTTGTACCTTTTCCCTATTTCTAATCTACTCAGTGGGTCGAGCAAGTTATCGGGTTGCAACTAAAGATTTACTATATTTAATTTCCCACATATGGTGCAAATGATAGCAAAATTATTAGACTTGAAATCTTTACAAAATGTAGTATTTGCAATAGAATACAAGTATGAGGGGCAACTCCAACTAAGTTTTGTTAGAGTATAGACTTGGTAATCACAAGATTATACGTTTGACTTTTATGTAAAAAGTGATATCTGATCTCAACCGCCTATCAGGGTTACGAGACCATTAATCTTTTTATAAGGGAGTTTGTTCATGTTATATATATATATATATATATATATATATATATATATATATATATAGGGGCAGGATAAAATGAGAACCACTGCTCCCCAGTGCAAACTGGCAAACTGCACAATCAAGCATTACAAGATGCACAATCGTAAAATTACAAGAAGCATAATACAAAAGTAATTACAGAAATGTGTGTCTCCATGATACACAATCACTTATCCGCGAATGCGCAATCAAACATTACAAGTTGCACAAAAGGTAGTTCACACGTACGTTAGCATGGAAAAGGTAGTTCTCATTTGATCCTACCCTTATATATGTAATGGACTTGAGCAACTTAGCTATTAATCTAGTACTTGTATGATATAAAAAAAAAAATATTTATAAATTTTTTATATTGTAAAAGTGGTAGGTTAATAGCTTAAAAAAAAAAAAAAAAAAAAAAAAAAAGACACAACTTAAACGATTAAATTAAATGAAATTATTATACCAAATTATTGACATTTTCAGAGAAGAAACACATGAGACAAAATTGAAAGAAAAAAAAAAATTAGCATAGGGGCGAAATCTATACTTTTGGTCCAAGGAGTAAGGGATCAGAAGCAATTAAGGCGAGGGAATTTGGGATTTTAAATCCATCCATCCTACGTTAAACCACATAGAGATCAGCGAGTTCCTCCAAAGATCCATCATCATCTTCATCATATGCATTTTCAAGCATCCAGAGAAGGTGGTCAAACAGCACAACCTCGCACTTCACTGACAGATCATCATCATCATCTTCCTCATTCTTCTTCTTCTTCTTCTTCTTCTGCTGCTGCTTCGACTTCTGAATCAGAGCGTTCATCAATGGATGGCTTAAGTGCTTGGAACTTATGTGGTAGCGCCGCCTTGAACTCCCCACCACAACCGTCTTCTCACATTCTTCATGATTATCACCACTGTTAGTATCTTCTGCAGCAAGCATGTCTTCATCTCTTGTAGACCTGGACCTCAGGCTACTGTAGGAAGAAGTTCTTCCCAGCTGCCTGGAAAGACTCTTGCACTTCCTTAGCAGCAAATTCATCTTCTTCATCACATTCACTTCCTAAATACAACTTTTTTTTTTTTTTCCAGTTGGAGAGCTTGCCGAGATGGATCTGAGAGCCTGAGCTAAAGCCTAGCTAGGCTTAGCTGCACAAGATCGAAGAGTGACAGATCTAGATATATGTAGGGTAACTGATGTAGTGCCTATATATTCCATTCAACTAACAGAAAAAAAAATGCAAACTTTCATAGGGAATTCAATTAATGGGTGAAATGTCACTGTTTTCTGGTACATTCCCAAGTGTGTGCCAACCCAAAATATTCCATCTGATGGAAACAACCCACCTTTCAGGGGTCAGACTACTTACTGTTTCTGTTTTGGAAAACCACAAATTTACTAAAATATCAGTAGACACAGAGGTATTTCGTCTTTCAGATCATCAACTCTTTGATCCAACAGTCACATCACACACACATGATCTTTTTTTATTACTCTTCTATCTGTTTTGCTTTATGTTTGTTTGCTACGGTAGATGATGCTGATTAGCTCAGCAACAAACAACATCATTACTGGTGGGGTGGGTGCCCAACATTGATTTGCTCTGTACAGCTAAAAATATATGGACAAGTAATCAACTATGGCCTGGTTAAAGGATACGGTACCCAAAATATACTAGACATTCGAAATCATTAAAAATTCAAAATACATATAAATATGAGCTGGTAAAATAGTTGAAACTGATGAACATGAAAGTCCATGAGTTATATGCGTGACCATCTTTAACTCCTAAGTTATGCACAAAATGGCAATTTTAGTCCCTTAGAGACTATTTCTACCACCAATTTGTCACTCAATAAAGTGGCTGATTTGGTCCTTTAAGGAATAAAATCGCCACTGTATGCATAACTTAGAGGTTAAAGATGGTCACACATAACTCAGGACTAAATATATATTGCGGGTATAACTGGAGGAGCAAAAACGCAGTTTTCCCTTCAAATTATAGTATAATTGCATTATTATTACTATAAGCAGTAATGGAAGGATTCCATCTAAAACTGTTAATGCTATAATGGATAGAGTGCAGGCTGAATAATAATAAAAAGAAATCCATCATGCTTTTATCTTAATTTCCTTTTAATCTTTTGTACATTTCCTCTTTCGGATACAAATGTATTTGTATCAAGCAGTCCTTCATCAACTAGGAAGAATATAAATAAATAAAAACAAACATATAAGAATACTCCATACAAAAGATTAATAGGTCACTATTTGAGAGGCACTATCACAAAGATATGTGGTATGAATCTCAAGTACTGAACAAAATGAAGCTCCCACCTGCAATGGCAATGTATGAAGCTCGGAGGCTGTCAGAAGCTTGCTCAGCAGAATCAGAGGCTTCTTTAAATTTTACAATTAACTTCTTGACTCTAATCACACATTGAAGCGAAATAGCATCACGTCCCCTTCTTGGACGACATACTCTTTACCCTCTGACCTCAACTACATAAACCAAGGTAGATCACATAAGCTTAGTGATATTGGTGAGTTCGAAATTGGACCATGATAGATTTCAAAATGCAAAAACCATACAGAAAACATAAACAGCACTTGGAAAAACAAACTTACAAGTCCTTTCTCTCTTGCAGCTGCAAGTGATCCAGCAGCAACAAAATCATCATAAGCAACCTGAGATAAAACATTTCATCAATTAAACTTGAAATGCACCACCATCCATCAAAAGCACCCATACATGTTAGGGATATTCATGTTCTGACCAAAACCAATCACCTTTCAAACTCATGGTATTCTTGAGGGAACTGTTTTAGATACCTTTGCATTTTACAAAATGACTAGAAAAGGAATGCCTTTATGTTTAAGTAATCTAACACAAAAAAATGGAAAACTTCTGCAACAAAATTCACAATTATCATTGATACTAACCGTCTCTGCTCGAATGAAACCCTTTTCAAAGTCAGAATGTATTACTCCAGCTGCTTGGGGTGCAGTCATGCCTACATAAACATTATGATTAGACACTTATGTTTAACAAAATTGTAAACCATCTGCACTGCAGGATAAATGCAAGTTTACCAAAACTGTCTCCCCCTAAAGAAAAAAACATATACCGATAATTTAAAAATGAAAAAAATGAAGCATAGCAGTAGGCACTAGGCAGTACAGAACTGAAGAACTTACCAGATAGTATGGTCCAAGCTTTTGTTTCCTGTAAGATACAAGGACAATTATGTTAATATGGTGAACCTACAAAATTTATAGTAATGCATAGTTATTCACATCACCTTCTCGCCAGAAGTGAAGTATGTTCTCAAACCCAGTAGGGCATATGTTGTCCTAATAAGATTCCCAAGGCCACTTTCACTAACACCAAGTGATTTTAAATATTCCATCCTTTCATCTAGAGCCAGTTCAGCTAGCTCTGATTCAACCTGCATCAAGAAGCTCCCAGGTTCAGTTGCAACCCCTTGATGCCAATACCATATTCATCAGGTAAAGTCAACTTTGAATACTTTTGAAAAACCAGTGGATACATACTCAGACACATTGACCCCTTCTTCATATTTTACTAAAAGATGGGGAAAGAAATGATCTTTGTTCTTTGTTCTTTTTTTTTTTTTTTTTTTTCTTGGGAGTGGGAGGGGAAGAACCTGTGCAGAGATGGTTACAACACCAGATTGTAACTCGGAAGCAGTATTCATCACTTCTTTAACATGAGTGTTGCTTTCAGGCTGAGCTACATCTGACTCTGCAACATTAGCCACATATATGACTGGTTTCATTGTAAGTAAACAAAGATGGTTCACAGCATCCTTTTCAAAATCTGTTAAGGACACTGATCTAGCTGGTTTTCCATCCATTAGTGCCTGTTTAATTCTTTCCAGGGCAGACTTTTCTGCTTCCTCCTGAATCAAGTAAGTTACAAAATGATTTTTTAAACCCTATGATATTAACAGTGTCAATACAAAAAGAAAGAACATTTGTAACCAACAAAGCACACTTTTACCTTAAGTTTAGACTGTGAATCTTTAGCTCTGCCTTTTTTAAGTTTCTCCATTCTTTTTTCAATCTGCATTTCTTGTATGGGATACAATTTAGTTCTATTAGTCAACATGCCTAAGCAAGGCATAAATAAATGATAATCAAAATACCTGGTCCAAGTCTGAGAACACCAACTCTAGGTTGATTACATCAATATCAGACCTTGGATCAACTTTCCCGTTCACATGAACAATGTCATTATCCTCAAAACAGCGCACAACCTAAAACAATAACAGAATATAACCACAAATGTAGAGTGATTTGAAAGAAGAGAGCAGTAATCCATGATGAAAAGTGTTAAGAATTCATGCACAGTACTTTCTCTCTTTTATATACTGTGAGACCGAGAATGAACATCAAAAGGGAAGCTTAAAATGCATTCCCACCCGATCCAAGGAGGTGGAATGAGTCAGGATGAGCTAAAATTAGATGGTTCCTGAGACCTCGACTCTCAATTTATTAGCCCAAAAGGATAAGAATTTAAAACAGAAACCACTACAAACATACCTGAAGTATGGAGTCCACTTCACGAATGTGTGACAAGAATTTATTACCCAAACCCTGTCATCATCAAATTGTGTTACTTTGATTTTTAGTTTTTTACGACTGACAAGAGTATTAAAAAGGAACCAATTAATAATGTATTAGAACACAACAAATTTTGATTGCAGATGAGATACATTTGGTTAAATAAAGTAAAAGATGTGCACCTCTCCTTGGCTGGCTCCCTTTACAAGCCCAGCAATATCAACAAATTCTATCGATGCTGGGACAGATCGTTGTGATTTGCTCAGATCAGAGAGCACATTGAGACGAGGATCTGGGACAGCTACTATCCCTACATTCGGTTCTATTGTGCAGAAAGGAAAATTAGCAGCCTGAGCCTTTCCATTCTCAACCTGCAAGAATAAAAGGTACAAGACAATTAGTAGTTCAAGTAAACTTTCTGCAATCACACTCATACCAACTGATTGTAAAACCATTCAATCAGCAATCACACTCCTACACTAGAACCACTAACCACTTTGTTACCCTCATTTCCATCCCAAAAGCAACATTTATACAACTATGAGATGTGAAAACTTGTTAAGGGCACCACAAACCCAATCGCAAGAAGCACAAACACATGTATGCTTACAACAGCCGTAGATATATGCATAAATTTTGACAGATTAAGCTAAAAATACAGTTAATTGAGCTTCCGAAACTGTACTCTGATTATCTTCGCGTAGGGACATTTATACAAATACATAATGGACAAACGCGTTCGTCCTAGAAATAGATTACGAAAGCCATAAATAAATGTGTATATACACGAGTTAGCGATAGAAAGACTTACAACGGCGTTGAAGAGAGTGGATTTTCCGACATTGGGAAGGCCAACAATCCCGGCTCTCAAACTCATGCTTATTTTTGCTGCGGAGAACTGCCGCGTCTTCACGAACAGAGAATGGGTGGTTTCTGAATGTTTAAGCCATCGGAGAGCAGAGTTTTGAAAGAGAGAAGACCTTAGTGGAAGTGCTACTGAAGGAAGAAGCTGAGAGCATGCTATTCTCGCCATGGCCTCTGTGTGCTTGCCAAAGAGGCGTTCGTTTATCTACGCTGCGAAAGAGACTAAAAAACCAAACCAAAGTAAAGCGACTAGTCTTCCAAATGCGCCCCTGTTAAAAATTGACAATATCATATGCCCCACATTTACCATTTACAAACTTCTCACTTTTGTTGTAAAAAGTTTAAGCAAATACCAATTTTGAATTTTGATAATATTTATAATATGAGTATTAGGCTATCCTCGTCCCAAAATTATTAGCACTTGCAAGATGACATAGCCATTAAAGTGGCATTTTAAACTTTTTTTTTTTGTTTTAATTTTCGTGTCATGTGTCTAGCAAGCTTTCTTAATTAGAAAGTTTACTAAAACTGACAAAGGCTGCCGCATTGACATAACAATTTTAGTTCACATGTTTAATCACTATCAATTTTCATTCACAGTTAATGTTTTCATGCCAAAACTAATTACGCTAATCATCCCTCTGACTAAAATATATTGGAATGGGTGATTCGTAAGGACATTTTTGTCCATTCATGTAAAATATGTCAATTTGTCCATTCATGGAAACCCGAAAAATGACATCCTGAAAATGTTTTCTGATGGGAGAAAATGAGGTCAATGGAAAATGATGCATTAGTCAAAGGAAAATAGGTATGTTTGGGAGAAAATGACTTCCCTTTTTTTTTTCTTTTGGGAAGTCATTTTTCAAGGGATGCACATGCCAAATTATTCGGACCTAATTTTTTGCCAGCCTTTGCGAGTCGGCCCACCAAACCCGCAAGCTAGGGTACATGTAACCAAAGCCCGCCCGCAGGTTGGCGGGCTCCGCGAGCCGATCTGCGAATTTTTATTTTTTATTTTTGAATTCAAAGTTAAAAAAAAAAAAAACGTAAAGCCTACAAATAATATTAATTTTTTCGTATTTAACAATTTTTTAAAAAATTATATTTTTAAAAATGTTACACACACACACAAAGTGGGCCTAAGCCCGCGGGTTTGTCCGCCCCCGCCCTGCGGTGGAGCAGATTAGGGTCATGGAAAAATAGGCGTGCGAAAATGTGAGTCTAACGGGACGTGACGGAATTGACCTGCAGCCCGCGAAAAAAAAAAATTAAATATAGATATGCTACACTGTAACATATATGTGTTCAGACTTACAGTGTAACATATGTTATGTTTATATATATATATATATATATATATATATATATATATATATATATATATATATAGAAAAACGCTCATATGTGGTCATGTCATTAGGTGTGGTCGTGTGGTCGTGTGGTCGTATCTGGGTCGTTGAATCAGTTTAATCTAAAGGCAGTGGTAATTCTCAGAATTTTCGCGCGTTTTAGTAAGTGGGGGTGTTATGGTAATTATAGTGACCATTTATAGCGGGCGGGTTCCAGAATACACCAACAGTGTTGACAACATACACCAATAGTGTAATAAAACACACCACAGTGAAACACACCAATGGTGTATTCCCGTGTTATGGTAATTACAATGGCCAGTTATAGCGGTCGGGTTTCAGAATACACCAACAGTGTTGACAACATGCACCAATAGTGTAATAAAACACACAACAATGTGATTTTCCCTATTCCGGTGTTTTATGACAAGTTTACCCTTACAGTTCTCTGGGTAGGAGAATGTGCACGAAAATACTGGAAAAAATCTTGATTAATATGAATCATTAGATCTATCTAATCTAATGGTCTATAATTGACCATATGACCACACCTAACAACATGGCCACATGTGAGCGCTCCTATATATATATATATATATATATATATATATATATATATATATATATATATACTATTATTTTTTTTTATCGTACAAAAATTGTTTTTACATCATTGTCAGACCTGCGCGACCTAACTACAAAGTTGTTGATCATAAATACAATTACACTTGGACTCTAAAACGGTAGAACCATTTTTCAAAGAATTGACAATGTTAGCATCCCACTGGCTCCAATTGAACAAGTTTACACATCAGAACTTTATCAATGCATGAAAACTTCTAAAGAAATTTGTATGTTGATTTTTATTATATCATTATAACAATATCTATTGTAACTATATTTTTGAATTATTTATTATCATCCTCTATTGACAGAGATTGTAACAATTGTCATTGACAAATTCTCAAAACAATTTGTCTCAACAACGAATGTAAATTAAAAAAAAAAAATCAATGATTTCAATATTGTTGATGAAAAGTATGTACGCCACTTTATTACTCTTATTAAATTAAATATATTAGTAGCTACAATAAAAACTAATACATATGCATTTAATTAATTTAGAATTAGATGTCTATAATGTCTTTATTTAAAAAAAAAAAGTGTTCATTATAAAAACTTTAAAAAGAGATATAATTTCATTAGTTATATTATCTTTATTTTCTAAAATTCAAAGATTCATTACCTTCAAATTTATTAATTTATTATACTCACTACATTCAAGGACGGAGTCAGAAAAATATTTGAGTAGGGCGAAGTTTAAATGACGTTAGAAATATCAATTACAAAATATCACACAGTCATAATAAGATTAAAATACAAAATATATTATACATTACAATAGAATGTTTTTTTTTTATAGATTAAACGATAGTTAGAGTCGGAGCAAAAAATATACTTGAATGGGGTGAACATGTAAAAATATTTATGACAAAATATGAAACATAATCAATTAAATAAAATAATTTGAATACAATGAAGTATAATATAACCATTATGTGTGGTGTATTTTTTTTTTTTTTTGTGTGGTGTATTTTTTGGCATTTCATTCTGGTGTATTTTCGAATACTGTATGGTGCATTTATGCATACCTAATGGTGTATGCCGCACTGACCGCACGGGAAGACCTGATCTCATAGGAACCAATATATATATATATATATATATATATATATATATATATGTGGACAAAATAAAGAAAATATACTTTGCATCACTTTATGGGGCTATAGCCTATAAGGCAGTATTGCTGGCCCAGGTACTAGGTATCAGGCCCAAAGGCTTGTCCAAGGCAGATTATTCTATGAACTTGGGTCCACTTTGTAAGGTGGATCCAAATTTTAAAATACACAATTTATTTATGAAATGTTCATAATTTATATATTGAATATTCATAATTTTACATACTAAATGTTCATAATTTACATACTAAATATTTACAATTCGAATTATGAACATTTAATATGTAAATTGTGTATTTTAGACATGGGATCATGGTATAACTGCTGCTTTCCCAAGCACGTTTGTTCAAGAAACCGGTCATATGTATCAAAACCTTTGTTTACAAAAGTCAATCCAAGAGAGCTAATATTAAGTGTAGATGAATACTTTGGGAGAACTGGAGAAGCTCTAATGATGTATAAATATTGTTTTGAAACTTTGGATACTAACTTACCAGATATTTTAAGGTTCAGTAATCCATTTAGTTTAGGTACACTATTTGGAGGAATAATATATTGTGTTTGATGGAGAATTTAGAAAATTATACGAGTGATTCCAAAAGGAAGCAGATAAGAAATCAATAATGCTTCGATCAACTCTTCGAAATTGTGGAAACATTAGTATTATTCTGACATGATCATTTTTTATCATTCGTTAATAAAATCAGTGAAATATCTTAAATATAAAGGCATTTCGATCATTTTTTATACAAAGTGATGAATTGACCCCGCTATATTTTTATGTTTATTTTTTGAAAAAAATTGTAATTGAAGACCGAAATGTGTTTGTATTTAACGTCATTAAAATTGTTTGTTGATAGAGGACCAAAAATGGTCATGACGCAATAATACTAGGGCCAAATGTGGATATTTTGATAAAAAAAATGATTAAAAATGGATGGTCACCTATAAATTTAGGACAAAAAATGAAATTAAGGGTGTGTTTGGTTGGTGGGCTTTGCCCATAGGAATGGGTATGAAAGTGATTGTTGTTGTTTGGTTGATAGGTTTTTAGAACACTACTATGGGTTTCGATACCCCATCAATTGAAAAACTCATACCCAAATACAATAAGGTTTCATTCCCTAATTCATTCTCAAGCACTACTATTAGTAACCATTCCCATTCCACCCTACTACCAAACATGTTAAATATTTTCACCAAAACCCATTACCATTACCAAGTATTTGATACCCATACCGATTCCGATTCCTATGTGCGAACCAAACACACCCTAAGCCTCTACATTTTCCCTTTTTAAGTAACAAATTAAATACTTTATTCTTGATTAGTATTACATTTTTTAGTATAAATATTACATTTTCATCTTGACTCGACCTATCTCACGTTCAATGATCAATGAGATGATCTCACACAAATTTTTATCTCTAAGAAAAACACAATAAAATCATGATTCTATCAAACATTCAAATCTTTTAAAGGTCATGTACATCCATTCCATTAAAATTGTAATATTTAAGCCACACTAATGTTACATTCTCTTTTTAAATTTACCTTTGTATTATTTATTTCTTGATGTGGTAATACCTTATTAATTCATTTTTTTATTTAATTATTAAATAGTTATTTCATTTCATAGCATTTTTTTCTTTACTATATATATTCTGAACTCAAATTATGCTTTGATTAAAGTATTTACGAGTAGTTCATTATTGTTAAGCACTTCGTTGGTTGAATGGAAATAGGATACTAACAAGTAGGATTTTAATTTAATTTATACCATGTTACATGCAATTATGCATTATAAATAAATTATTATGCATCATGTTCTCACTCCTATAAAAAAAGTGTTGTCTCATCCATTCTCCAACATGTTTGCTATTTCTAAGGCTTCATTCTAATTATAAAATAGTTTATTGTCTTCCTTTTATCCTTCCTCTACAAATGATGCAAAGAAAGTACTATTAGCCATTCCAAAAATATAACTTAGCACTATATCTTTTACACTCATTATTTTCAATTCACTCGACCTGTTTGGTACGTAGCATATTTAGCTTATCAGTCAATTTTGACTTATTTAACCACTATTAGGTGTTTGACTTAGTTAAACAATCAATATGAGTGTTTGATCAATTAGCTTTATGTAACAACTTATTGCTCCAA